CTATATATTTGTCGCGGGCATGAACTTTCTTAAGCCCTCTGGAAAAAATGTACACGTCGCTCGTTCTCGAGCGTCTCTTGAGACCCGCAGACCGACACAGAGACACTCGCATAGCAACCGAGAGACTTACAGAGAGACACAAACTCACGCAGAGGCACATTGACTTATATTGAGACGCATATACTCACATAGAGGCCCACAGACTTACATAGAGACGCATAGACTTGCATAGAAACGCAGAGAGTTACACCGAGACATATTTAGATTCGCGTAACGGGATATGGGGTTGAGGTGTGGCGCAGCTGTGCAATGATTGGTTTGCGCCCCACCCAATGAGTTCAATTTAACGAGTATAACAGGTTAATATTATATATATTTTAAAAATAGTTGAGACGTTAGTGGTGATATTCGTTTACCCACTCGCACTGACCAGCGTGGTGAAGTATGGTCAAAAACCTTCATGACTCAACGCAGCATGGGAAAAAGCCTTCATCGTCCAGCAGTGGATTAGCAAAGGGCTGGGAATAATTATGAATAATATTGATGATAAGAAATATTATTAATTATATTAAATTACCGATCAAAGTATAGTAATAGGTTTTACCCTTTTAACTGGCACAAAAAACTGACACCTTTATTCAAGGCATCATGTCTGCAATAACCACAACACAAGCAGTCAAAATGCAAACAAAAAGACAACTCTGATAATAATATGCACTGTCCCAAACGCGTGTTTTACCCGGGGGGGGAGGCAGAGTGGAAGATGTAATCGGGCCACATAATCTGCGGCAACTGAAAAAAGATAATATAATAGGCGACGTTTCAGGGAATGCCACTTTTCAAAGCGCATTTCTGTGCGTCTCCTTTTACATACTAAAAAAACCCCATCGATTTTAAGGCCACAGTCTTGTTATTACCGAATGTGTTGAGTTGTTGTTAATTGTGCACCACTATCAACCTATCATCAGCAGCGGCAGCAGCAGCGAATTTGAGCAAAACGTTGCTCGAATAAAATCAACCACCGAGCTGACGGGGATATACATGGAGGGCGCGTGTGTGGCGTGCGTCTCTGGCACCGGTTATCAGCTATCCAAATCAATCTCACTCGACCAGCAGGTGGCGGGTGATTCGACCTGTGAGATCAGCTTCCGTTGAGACGGATCGGCATGGCCAATGCAGTGGCACAGATGCGACCTCACTCCGCACTTGAAGACTCTGAACCCAAAAATACGCGGAACAGAATCTTCCCTTGTGGATGATAGCTGCTCGCCAAGGGCTCCGTAGTATACCCCGGGTCTGTCTTCCCACACGCGTGAATCCTCGTTAATTAGGGGGGGAAAACACTTTAAAGTTACGCTCAATTAGCACCGCTGTTCTAGATTTGAAGCTTTCGTGACTGCAATGATCCATACTCTTTGGTTCTATTCGTTAAAGTCACGTAGGTAAAAATAAAATAACAAAAATCACGACGTTTCGGCCACAACACAAGTGGCCTTCATCAGGTGTAGGGACCGTGCTGTCATGAGGACAGCACTCCAACGCTGTCCTTGTGACAGCACGGTCCCTTCACCTGATGAAAGCCACTTGTGTTGTGGCCGAAACGTCGTGATTTTTGTTATTTAATTTTTTACCTACGTGACTTTACCGAATAGAACCAAAGAGTATAGCACCGCTGTGTTATTTTACCCTGACCATTAACCCCTGACCTCTACCGATTACAATTGACCTCGATCTTGACCCTGACCGTTTTCTCTGGAATCCTCCTTAATCGCCTTTCCTTCTTCTTTGTGTTTTGTTTCCGCAGAATTGCCGGCGGAGGAGGGTGAGTAGTAACTCGTGCGGCGCACGGCTCCTATCGCCCCTAGCAGACCAACACCGGAGTACAGCATCACCCGGCAGAGACTAACCCGGGCCGGTGTAGCCGCCCACTTAGCGTGCGCACGGCAGCAGTACTACAATGTCCATGACTTGGTGGCTGCTGTGCACGTCCACGTGATAAGCCACTTCCGCTGAGCTATCATTTGCGGCCAGGTCGATTATGAAATATAACCAAATAGCTCAGCGGGCTTCGCCTAGTCAAATGAGTTTTTTGTTGTTAGCGATTTGCCTACCTTTCCAACACTTTGCACCCCTATCATGCTTCTGTATTGTTTGCTGTCGTAACCTTCTGACGTCTGCGAAAAAGAGCTTCATGGCTCATTGGTTTCGTCCGGTACAAATAAAGATTATGATTCTAGAGGTCTGCAAGCCACGACATAGCGCCCCCTAACAGACACAGTTGGAATAGAACCCCTAATGGATTATAGTTGGAATAGAATCCCCAGTGAATTACAGCTGGAATAGCACTCCTAAATGGTGACATGGAATAAGCGCCTCCAGTTGGCACGAACAGAATAGCGCCACCTAATGGACATAGCATGAGACCATTCGTGAATGCAACTGGAATAACCCCCCCACCCCCATCATGGTTTCAGATGAAATTGGGGCCTCTAGTGGACGCGTCTAAAATAGCGCCCCAGTAGTGACAGGTGACATCGCACCCCTATCGGTTGGACAGCGATTAGCACCCCTGTGGGTGACACATGGAACAACAGCTCCCGGTGGATAAGGATGGCATAGCACCCCCAGTGGAGACACCTTTGAACAGCACTAACCAGTGGTTTAAGAGTGTATACCACCCCCTAATGGACGCACGCGTTATAACATTGCCGGCCCTTGGTGGTTGGTGGTGTTGGTTGTGAGGTTGACGAGATGATGGTGGTGGTGGTGTTGATGGTGGTGCTGTGTAGGTAAGTCCCTGTGGGACCTGGTGGTGGAACAGTTTGAGGATTTGCTCGTGAGGATTCTGCTTCTGGCTGCCTGCATCTCCTTTGTGAGCTCACATCACACCACAGGATACATCACACCAAATATGTATAGCCTTTAAGCAGACTGTTTGGACAAATGCTAACCCTGAACCTAGCCCCGAGTTTTAACACTGATTCTAATTTTAAACTTAGCCTTGATTTCCACCTTATTATCACCCTAACATTATTATAATCAGGGACATTTGTCTTGGCAGTGACCCTAACCCTGTGACCCTGACCATGGTGACCCTTGACCGTTTATACTGAACCTGCGACCCCTACTGTCCAGACCATGGCAATTACCTGGACTATAATAGTGGTCCTGATCCTGTTCCAATGTCCCTGACCCGGGAGAACCTGGTAGTTTATTGCCCCAACCAATAAACAATGGCATTGACCATAACCCAAAAACAATGACCCTGACCCGACAATGACATTGACCCTGACGCAATGACATTGACCCTGACCCGACAATGACATTGACCCTGACTGCCATTGACCATGACCCAAAATAATGACATTGACCCTGACCCAATAACAATGACCATGCCCCAGCAATGGCATTGACCCTGACCCAATAACAATGACATTGACCCTGACCCAATAACAATGACCCTGACCGACAATGACATTGACCCTGACCCAATAACAATGACCCTGACCCGGCAATTACATTGAACACGACCCAAAAACAATGACATTGACCATGACCCAAAAACAATGACATTGACCCTGACCCAATAACGACCATGACCCAGCAATGACATTGACCCTGACCCAATAACAATGACATTGACCCTGACCCAATAACAACGACCCTGACCTAACAATGACATTGACCCTGACCCAAAAACAATTACATTGACCCTGACCCAATAACAACGACCATGACCCAGTAATGACATTTACCCTGACCCAATAACAATGACATTGACCCTGACCCAATAACAACGACCCTGACCCAACAATGACATTGACCCTGACCCAACAACAATGACATTGCCCCTGACCCAATAACGACATTGACCCTGACCCAAAAACAATGACATTGATCCTGACCCAATAAGAACGACCATGACCCAGCAATGACATTGACCCTGACCCAATAACAATGATATTGACCCTGACCCAATAACAACGACCTTGACCTAACAATGACATTGACCCTGACCCAAAAACAATGACATTGACCCTGACCAAATAACAACGACCATGACCCAGTAATGACATTTACCCTGACCCAATAACAATGACATTGACCCTGACCCAATAACAACGACCCTGACCCAACAATGACATTGCCCCTGACCCAACAACAATGACATTGCCCCTGACCCAATAACGACATTGACCCTGACCCAAAAACAATGACATTGACCCTGACCCAATAACAATGACCATGACCCAGCAATGACATTGGCCCTGACCCAATAACAATGACATTGGCCCTGACGCAATAACAACGACCCTGACCCAACAATGACATTGACCCTGACCCAATAACAATGACCCTGACCCGGCAATGACAATGACCCTGACCCAAAAACAATGACATTGGCCCTGACCCAATAACAACGACCCTGACCCAGCAATGACATTGACCCTGACCCAATAACAATGACATTGACCCTGACCCAATAACAATGATAGTGACCCTGACTCAATAACAATGACATTGACCTTGACCCAATCACAATGACCCTGACCCGGCAATGACATTGACCCTGACCCAAAAACAATGACATTGACCCTGACCCAATAACAACGACCATGACACAGCAATGGCATTGACCCTGACCCACAAACAGTGACATTGACCCTGACCCAATAACAACGACCATGACCCAGCAATGACATTGACCCTGACCCAAAAACAATGACATTGACCCTGACCCAATAACAACGACCATGACTCAGCAATGACATTGACCCTGACCCAATAACAATGACATTGACCCTGACCCAATAACAATGATAGTGACCCTGACCCAATAACAATGACATTGATCTTGACCCAATCACAATGACCCTGACCCGGCAATGACATTGACCCTGACCCAAAAACAATGACATTGACCCTGACCCAATAACAACGACCATGACACAGCAATGACATTGAACCTGACCCACAAACAATGACATTGACCCTGACCCAATAACAACGACCATGACCCAGCAATGACATTGACCCTGACCCAAAAACAATGACATTGACCCTGACCCAATAACAACGACCATGACTCAGCAATGACATTGACCCTGACCCAATAACAATGACATTGACCCTGACCCAATAACAATGATAGTGACCCTGACCAAGTGACCGCTGATTACACTAGATTGATCCAGGGGCTCTGACACAAGACCCACTGACCCTAACGCAATCACCATGATAGTGACCCTGACCCAATGAATAATATACTCCCAGGAACCCTGACCCTGACCCCGTGACCCTGACCCTGTGGTGGTGTCCGCCAGGTGCTCGCGTGGTTCGAGGAGGGCGAGGAGACGGTCACCGCATTCGTGGAGCCGTTCGTCATCCTGCTCATCCTCATCGCCAACGCCATCGTGGGCGTGTGGCAGGTACAAACACACACACACACCTGTACACACACACACACCTGTACACACACACACACCTGTACACACACACACCTGCACACACACACCTGTACACACACACACACAAACACCTGTACACACACACACACCTGTACACACACACCTGTACACACACACCTGTACACACACACACACCTGTACACACACACCTGTACACACACACCTGTATACACACGCACACATGTACACACACACCTGTACACACACACCTGTACACACGCCTGTACACACACACCTGTACACACACACACACCTGTACACACACACCTGTACACACACACCTGTACACACACACCTGTACACACACACACACACACCTGTACACACACATGTAGACACACACACAATGTACACACACACCTGTACACACACACCTGTACACACACCTGTACACACACACCTGTACACACACACACCTGTACACACACACCTGTACACACACACCTGTACACACACCTGTACACACACACACCTGTACACACACATGTAGACACACACACCTGTACAACAACAACAACAACAACCGCCATTCGCCACTAAGTGGCGGTGACGTCACCACGACGCTTGTGCCAGGCTATGTGCACCCTGAGGCCACGTGAAGTGTCGAACGCCCGCTGGCAGGAGGTCACGGGGCAGACCCAGGTGCCACGGGTCGACTGACACCTGTACAAAACAAAGACAAAGATCCCCCGTATAGCCTTAACAGACTGTAGGGGCAAGTGCTGTTAGCGAGCACCTATGAAGGCCGGAACGGTACACGAGGGGGTGGGTGGCCAGCACCACGCCCGACCGCCTTTGTCTCCCTAGTGACGATGTTTACACACCGCACCAGGTACTCATTTGAGGCTGAGTCGACCTAGGGGAGGCCCGGGACCGGTTCAGATAATCGTCACTGGTGTTGGCCGTGAGCAGGAATCGAACCCGGGTCGCCAGGTTCATAGCGCAGCGCGCTAACCGCTACACTACCGCTCCCCACACACCTGTACACACACACACACCTGTACACACACACCTGTACACACACACCTGTACACACACACACACCTGTACACAAACACCTGTACACACACACACTTGTACACACACACCTGTACACACACACACCTGTACACACACACCTGTACACACACACACACCTGTACACACACACACCTGTACACACACACCTGTATAGAGTGATGTGCACTTTGTGTGTAATGATGGGTGTAATGCTGTGCTGGGTGTACGTTGTGTGCTGTGTGTATACTCCGTTCGTGCTGCGTGTGGACTACGTGTGCTGGGGGTGTGTGTTTGTATACTGCGTGTGCTGTGTGTGTACTGTGTGTACTACTGTGTGTGCGCTGTGTGTGTACTGCGTGTGCTGTGTGTGCGAGCGCTGTGTGTGTACTGGGTATGCTGTGTGCTGTGTATACTTGTATGCACTGTGTGTGTACTGTGTGTGTACTGCGTGTGTGCTGCGTGTGTACTGTGTGTACTGCGTGTGTGCTGCGTGCGTACTGTGTGTAATGCTGTGTGCGTGTGTACTGTGTGTGCTGTGTGTGCTGTATACTGTGTGTGTGCTGTGTGTGCATACTGCGTGTGTACTGTGTGTGCGTGTACTGCGTGTGTGCTGCATGCGTACTGTGTGTAATGCTGTGCGTGTGTGCTGTATACTGTGTGTGTGTACTGTGTGCTGTATACTGTGTGTGTGTGCTGTGTGTGTACTGTGTGTGCGTGTACTGCGTGTGTGCTGCGTGCGTACTGTGTGTAATGCTGTGCGTGTGTGCTGTATACTGTGTGTGTACTGTGTGTGTGCTGTGTGTAATGCCGTACTGCGTGTGTGCTGTGTGTGTACTGTGTGTAGATATACTGTGTGTGTACTGTGTTTATGTGTGTACTGTGTGTGTGTGCTGTATACTGTGTGTGTGTGTGCTGTGTGTGTGTGTGCTGTATACTGTGTGCGTGTACTGTGTGTGTATACTGTGTGTGTGTGTACTATGTGTGTATACTGTGTGTGTATATATATACTGTGTGTATACTGTGTGTAATGCTGTGTGTGTGCTGTATACTGTGTGTGTATACTGTTTGTGTGTATACTGTGTGTGTGTGTTCTGTGTGTATACTGTTTGTGTTTATACTGTGTGTGTGTGTGTTCTGCGTGTGTACTGTTTGTGTTTATACTGTGTGTTTGTTCTCTGTGTGTGTACTGTGCTGCGTGCGTACTGTGTGTAATGCTGTGTGCGTGTATACTGTGTGTGTACTGTGTGTATACTGTGTGTATACTGTGTTTATGTGTGTACTGTGTGTACTGTATACTGTGTGTGCTGTATACTGTGTGTGTACTGTGTGTATACTGTGTGTATACTGTGTGTGTACTGTGTGTATATTGTGTGTATACTGTGTTTATGTGTGTACTGTGTGTGTACTGTATACTGTGTGTGTGCTGTATACTGTGTGTGTACTGTGTGTACTGTGTGTGCTGTATACTGTGTGTGTACTGTGTGTGTGCTGTATACTGTGTGTGTACTGTGTGTGGGCTGTATACTGTGTGTGTGTACTGTGAGTGTGTACTGTGTGTGTGTGCTGTATACTGTGTGTGTACTGTGTGTACTGTGTGTGCTGTATACTGTGTGTGTGTACTGTGTGTGTGCTGTATACTGTGTGTGTGTACTGTGTGTGTGTACTGTGTGTGTGTGTACTGTGTGTATACTGTGCTTATGTGTGTACTGTGTGTGTTCTGTGTGTATACTGTGTGTGTACTGTGTGTGTGTACTGTGTGTGTGTTCTGTGTGTGTACTGTGTGTGGACTGTGTGTGTGTGTACACTGTGTGTGTTCTGTATATTGTGTGTGTGTACTGTGTGTGTATATACTGTGTGTAATGCTGTGTGTGTGCTGTATACTGTGTGTGTACTGTGTGTGTGCTGTATACTGTGTGTGTGTACTGTGTGTGTGTACTGTGTGTGCTGTATACTGTGTGTGTACTGTGTGTATACTGTGTGTGTGCTGTGTGTGTACTGTGTGTACTGTGTTTGTGTGTGTACTGTGTGTATACTGTGTGTGTGCTGTGTGTGTACTGTGTGTACTGTGCGTGTACTGTGTGTATACTGTGTGTGTATACTGTGTGTACTGTGTGTGTTAACTGTGTGTGTACTGTGTGTGTACTGTGTGTGTACTGTGTGCTGCGTGTGTGCTGCGTGTGTACTGTGTGTGTGTATTGTGTGTGTACTGTGTGCTGCGTGTGTGCTGCGTGTGTACTGTGTGTGTACTGTGTGTGTGTACTGTGTGTGTGTATTGTGTGTGTATTGTGTTCTGCGTGTGTACTGTGTGTACTGTGTGTGTGTGTGTACTGTGTGCTGCGTGTGTACTGCGTGTGTACTGCGTGTGTGCTGCGTGTGTACTGTGTGTACTGTGTGTGTACTGTGTGCTGCGTGTGTACTGTGTGTAATGCTGTGTGTGTACTGTGTGCTGCGTGTGTGCTGCGTGTGTGTACTGTGTGTGTACTGTGTGTACTGTGTGTGTACTGTGTGTGTTGTGTGTGTGTGTACTGTGTGTGTGTACTGTGTTTGTACTGTGTTCTGCGTGTGTGCTGCGCGTGTACTGTGTGTGTGCTGTGTGTGTACTGTGTGCTGCGTGTGTGCTCCGTGTGTACTGTGTGTGTGTGTACTGTGTGTGTACTGTGTGCTGCGTGTGTGCTGTGTGTGTGTACTGTGTGTGTGTACTGTGTGTGTGTACTGTGTGTAATGCTGTGCTGCACGTGGCCCTGCGCGCTGCCAGGAGCGCAATGCGGAGAGCGCCATTGAGGCGCTGAAGGAGTACGAGCCCGAGATCGCCAAGGTGTACAGGCAGGACCGCCAGGCCGTGCAGAGAATCAAGGCGCGCGAACTCGTGCCCGGGGACCTGGTGGAGGTGGCCGGTAGGGAGACACGCGTGGCACGCACAGCCCAACATCACCACCTCCATCACCACCTCAGCAACTCCATCACCAACCGTCTCGAACACCACCTCCATCACCAGCTCCATCACCATCCCAGCAACTGCATCACCAACCACCTCCATCACCACCTCCATCACCACCTCACCAACTCCATCACCAACCACCTCCATCACCACCTCCATCACCACCTCACCAACTCCATCACCAACCACCTCCATCACCACCTCCATAACCACCTCACCAACTCCATCACCAACCACCTCCATCACCACCTCCATCACCACCTCACCAACTCCATCACCAACCGTCTCGAACACCACCTCCATCACCACCTCAGCAACTCCATCACCAACCACCTCCATCACCACCTCCATCACCACCTCACCAACTCCATCACCAACCGTCTCGAACACCACCTCCATCACCAGCTCCATCACCATCCCAACAACTGCATCACCAACCACCTCCATCACCACCTCCATCAACAACTCACCAACTCCATCACCAACCACCTCCATCACCACCTCCATAACCACTTTACCAACTCCATCACCAACCACCTCTACAATTATCTCCATAACCACCTCACCAACTCTATCACCAACCACCTCCATAACCACCTCAGCGACTCCATCACCAACCGCCTCGAACACCACCTCCATCAGCACCTCCATCAGCACCTCCATCAGCACCTCACCAACTCCATCACCAACCACCTTCAATGCTACTCCGTCGGTAACGCCACCTCAAACAGGCCCTTCGACACGAGCCGCGGGCACCAGCAGCAGCACAACACTCCACCAGGACCGTGACCACTAATAATCTCTGCCTTGCTGCTGCTGCTGCCGCCGCCTCTTCCCCCCCACCGCAGTTGGAGACAAGGTCCCGGCTGACATCCGCCTCTCGGAGATCAAGTCCACCACGCTGCGCGTCGACCAGTCCATCCTCACCGGTACGGGGGTTCGCTCACCCACCACTCACCAACCAACTCAACACCGCCATAGCCCCACAGTGAGCCAAGATTAAAACAAAGACAAATATCCCCCGTATGGCCCTCAACAGACTGTTTGGTGGGTGGGTGGGTGGCGGGGAGGACAGGTGCTGTCAGCGAGCACCTATGAAGGCCGCCAGTCAGCCAGCGACAACACTCTCGCACGCGCGCGCACGTGCACACTCCAACTCCATAACCAACCGCCTGCATCACCACCTCCATCACCAACTGACCGACTCCATCACCAAGCGCGTATGCACGCACAATTACTCACCTACCGAGTCGCCAGCTTGATACATGCAGTCCAATAACCACTGTTCATAATACAAAGACCACCCCCCAAGACTGTTGGAGCAAAGTGCTGTTAGCGAGAGGGTGGATGGCCAGAACCACGCCCTGCAGCTTCCCAGTGCCGACGTTTAAGACACACCGCACTGAGTACTCATTTAAGGCTGAGCCCACTTAGAGGTGGTGGCCCAGACCCAGTTCAGATGCTTCGCTACTGCACGCAATTGGTTGTGACCGGGGATCGAATCGGGGATTTTTGCCGGGTTCGGTAGCGGTGCACCGCAGCTGCTAACCACTGCGCCGCCGCTCCCCACTCGCTCTGGCCCCGTTGTCACCCGCGCGACTGCAGGAGAGTCGGTGTCCGTGATCAAGCACACGGAGCCCGTGCCGGACCCCCGCGCTGTCAACCAGGACAAGAAGAACATGCTCTTCTCCGTGAGTCTCCGCGCCGCTCGATGAACAACGCCCCGTCGTCCCCCGGGGTTGTTTGGCCGCACTTTATGCGGGGGGGGGGGTTTCATTCGAATTTTACCAGGCAAGGCCCCCACTGAGCTACGTAGAGGTCTTTTTCGGACGCGGCCTGGCTATCGCAAACCATAGTTAAACGAAGGTGGCTTATCGCGTGGACAATTTGTAGCAGCCATACACTCTTAAACGCATACTTTGGGGCGCCGCGGTGGTGAGATGTTAACTACCTCGCCTGGTGTGCAGGAGGTCGTGCGTTTCTATCCCGACCCTGGCGCCTGTTTAGTTGGAATTTACGATGTCTCTCTCTCTCTTCGTGGTCACGTGGATTTTTCTCCGGGTCCTCCGATTTTTTTCCCCTTCCACATTTGGAAATGCGCTGTGAATTTCCACACGACGACAAGCCGCTTTGTTTGAGCCATCATTTGCGGCCCAGGTCGCTTCTGAAAAAAAATGAGCTGTACAGATCAGTGGGCCTCACCTGGTAAAATAAAAAAAAAGTTTCGTCTGAACTCCCTCGCACCTAGGGGCCCATTGCCATTCACAACGACACCACCGCCAACGAACAAGCGGGGCGTCCTGACGACTGGCTGCAATTTTCTTTGGTTCTTTCGGTAAAGTCACGTAGAATGAGAATAAAATAATAAATTAGTAAAATAAAATAACACAATAATATTCTCACGACGTTTCGGCCACAACACAAGCGGCCTTCATCAGGTGAAGGGACGAGACTGTCTGGAGGACAGCGCTGGAGCGAACACAGCCAAGCTCAGACCGCGACCTTTAAGCTGTGTGAGAAGAAACAGAGCGCCTTGACAAAGGAATTGACAAAGGAATTAGCATGATTGAACGGTATAGAGGGGGTGAACATGTGCAGACTGGCGAGGGGGGGAGGGGGAGTTTACCTATTGATGGTGTGAAAAGGGAATTTAAGCTGCTGCGAAAGTTTGGGATACCACTACTTGAACAAATACACTGTACAACGTCGTGAGAATTTTATTGCGTTATTTTACTTTATTAATTTACAATTTTATTCTCATTCTACGTGACTTTACCGAAAGAACCAAAGAAGATGAATCCTTGCGGTCACGAAAGCTTTCAATCGAAATTTGGCTGCAATTTACTTAACAAACAAACAAGCAAAAAAATACATCACGTTAAAACTCCCCACGCTCGCATATCCGCACCGGAGGTGGAATCGCACAACCTTCGGGCCCGCATGTCCAGTGTGCTAAAGTGTTGCGCCACGACTGAGCTTGACCTCGTCGTCGTTTGACCCCACCCCCCCCCCACACACACACACCCCACAGGGTACGAACATCGCGGCCGGCAAGGCCATCGGCGTGGTGGTGGCGACCGGCGTGAATACCGAGATAGGCAAGATCCGCGACCAGATGGCGGCCACCGAGCAGGAGAAGACTCCTCTGCAGCAGAAGCTCGATGAGTTCGGGGAGCAGCTCTCCAAGGTGACTTACTCACCACCCTCTCCCCCTCGCTCTCCCCTCCCCCACCGTGGCCTCCTTCACCCGCCGCCACCAGCAGGAGCAGCAGTGTGACACTCCGTGGTCGCCGCCAGCAACACGACCATCGTCACCGTCGCCACCACGAACACCTCCACGTGTTCGCGACCACCGTGGTCACCGCCAGCAACATGACCATCAATGGTCCATTGTCCCGTCTGTCCTCCTCCATTGTCCCCTCTGTGCTCCTCCATTGTCCCCTCTGTCCTCCATTGTCCCCTCTGTGCTCCTCCATTGTCCCGTCTGTCCTCCTCCATTGTCCCCTCTGTGCTCCTCCATTGTCCCGTCTGTCCCCCTCCATTGTCCCCTCTGTCCTCCATTATCCCGTCTGTCCTCCTCCATTGTCCCCTCTGTCCTCCTCCATTGTCCCCTCTGTCCTCCTCCATTGTCCCCTCTGTCCTCCTCCATTGTCCCCTCTGTCCTCCTCCATTGTCCCCTCTGTCCTCCTCCATTGTCCCCTCTGTCCTCCATTGTCCCCTCTGTCCTCCTCCATTGTCCCCTCTGTCCTCCATTGTCCTCTCTGTCCTCCATTGTTCCCCTCTGTCCTCCTCCATTGTCCCCTCTGTCCTCCATTGTCCTCTCTGTCCTCCATTGTTCCCCTCTGTCCTCCTCCATTGTCCCCACTGTCCTCCTCCATTGTCCCCTTTGTCCTCCATTGTCCTCTCTGTCCTCCATTGTTCCCCTCTGTCCTCCTCCATTGTCCCCTCTGTCCTCCTCCATTGTCCTCTCTGTCCTCCTCCATTGTCCCCTCTGTCCTCCATTGTCCTCTCTGTCCTCCATTGTTCCCCTCTGTCCTCCTCCATTGTCTCCTCTGTCCTCCTCCTCCTAACCGTTGTCCCCTCTGTCCTCCTCCTCCATCAGCTGACAACATCGTGCGCGCTCTCTCCCCACCCCCGCCCCCCCCCCCCCCCCAGGTCATCACTCTGATCTGCATCGCCGTGTGGCTCATCAACATCGGCCACTTCAACGACCCCGTGCACGGCGGCTCGTGGATCCGCGGCGCCGTCTACTACTTCAAGATCGCCGTGGCACTGGCCGTGGCCGCCATCCCCGAGGGCCTCCCCGCCGTCATCACCACGTGCCTGGCGCTGGGCACGCGCCGCATGGCCAAGAAGAACGCCATCGTGCGCAGCCTGCCCTCCGTCGAGACGCTCGGCTGCACCTCGGTCATCTGCTCCGACAAGACCGGCACGCTCACCACCAACCAGATGAGCGTGTGCAGGGTGAGCGGAGCGCGCCGGCACGGCCTGTTGCGTCTCGCTAACGGTTGCTTGCCCCGCTCCCCCCACCCCCACCTTGCCGGCCGCGATGTTTGCGATGTATGGGGGGGGGGGATCTTCGTCTCTCTTTAATAGGGAAGAGAGAGGAGTGCGTGAGATATTATTCACAGTGTACCTGCCACTCGTCTCGGTCAGTCAACCCATGGTGGCACCTGGCTACTGGTCTGTCCCGTGACTTGCTGCCAGCAGCGAGTCCTTCCACACTTGACGTGGCCTCAATGTGCACCTAGCCTGGCACAAGCGCCATTGTGACGTCACCACCACTTAGTGGCGAACGGCGGTTGTTGTTGTTGTTGTGTGTGTGCAGGGGGGGGGCGGGGGAAGTATTAAGCGCGCTGCGCTATGATCCCGGCGACCCGAGTTCCATTCCCGATCACGACCAATAAGAACTGTGGCGAATATTTGAACCGGTCCCGGGCATCACCTGGTGCAGTGTGTATGATATGTCGCCGCTGGGGTGGGGGGGGGGAAGGCAAACCAGGCTTGGGGTTGACACCCCCCCCCCACGCCTCGTGAGCCGTGCGATCCTTCACAGCTGTTCGCCAAAAAACAGAACTTGCCCCAACAGGCTACACGGGGTAATCTGTCGTATTTAGTTTTATTTGGGAGGCATGTGGAGGCGGTGGTGATGAGATGAAGGTGGTGGTCAAGGTGTTGGTAGAGATGAAGGGGGTGATGATGTCTGCGGTGGTGGAGTTGATGATGTTGGTGATGATCGTGGTGTTGATGATGTTGGCGATGATCGTGATGTTGGTGATGATCGTGGTGATGTTCGTAATGGCTGTGTTGTTGATGATGTCGATGGTGGTGATGCTGTAGATGTTCGTGCTGGACAAGGTTGAAGGAGACTCGTGCTCCCTGGCCGAGTTCCACATCACGGGGTCCACATACGCGCCAGAAGGAGATGTGTACGCCTCACACCCCACGGCACACAGAGACACACCCCACACACACCCCACGGCACAGAGACACACCACACACCCCCCACATACACCCCACGGCACACAGAGACACACCACACACCCCACACACACCCCACGGCACAGAGACACACCACACACCCCCACATACACCCCACGACACACAGAGACACACCACACACCCCCCACATACACCCCACGACACACAGAGACACACCACACACCCCACACATACACCCACGACACAGAGACACACCACACACCCCACACACACACCCCACGGCACACAGAGACACACCACACACCCCACACACACACCCCACGACACACAGAGACACACCACACACCCCACACACACACCCCACGACACACAGAGACACACCACACACACCCCACACACACCCCACGACACACAGAGACACACCACACACACCCCACACACACCCCACGACACACAGAGACACACCACACACCCCCCACATACACCCCACGACACACAGAGACACACCACACACCCCCCACATACACCCCACGACACACAGAGACACACCACACACCCCCCACATACACCCCACGGCACACAGAGACACACCACGCACCCCCCACATACACCCCACGACACACAGAGACACACCACACACCCCCACATACACCCCACGACACACAGAGACACACCACACACCCCCATATACACCCCACGACACACAGAGACACACCACGCACCCCCCACATACACCCCACGACACACAGAGACACACCACACACACCCCACACACACCCCACGACACACAGAAACACACCACACACCCCCCACATACACCCCACGACACACAGAGACACACCACACACCCCACATACACCCCACGACACACAGAGACACACCACCCACTCCCCACACACACCCCACGACACACAGAGACACACCACACACCCCCACATACACCCCACGGTACACAGAGACACACCACACACCCCCCACATACACCCCACGGCACACAGAGACACACCACACACCCCCCACATACACCCCACGACACACAGAGACACACCACACACCCCACATACACCCCACGACACACAGAGACACCATACCCCCCACATACACCTCGCGCGCATACACTACACACACCGTACACACCATCATACAACTCACTCACAACCATCCACACACCACACACACCGTACACACCATCATACAACTCACTCACAACCATCCACCCACCACGCACACCGTACACACCATCATACAACTCACTCACAACCATCCACACACCACGCACACCACTCCATGCATTCACGATCTGCACGTCGCCTCATTACCCACTGGCTACCCTCCTGACCTCATTCCGCCATGACCCCCACGACCTTGAGGCCCCACGACTTCTTTGCACCCACGCGCCCATCGGCCTTCACGCACAGATGGCTCCCGGTGCCCGAGCGGCCCCATGAGCGAGTGACCTTGTGACCCCGCAGGTACAAGAACGAGAGCAAAGTGCGCACAGGACAGTACGACGGCCTGGTGGAGCTGGCGACCATCTGCGCGCTCTGCAACGACTCCTCGCTGGACTTCAACGAGGCGAGGAGACGCTGGGGACACGGGGAACATGCACGCGCGGAGGAGACACGGGGAAGATGCACGGGGGGGGGGGGGGACACAGGGACAACGAGGCATGGGGGAGATGGGCGAGACTTAAGAGAGACACACAGAGACACGGGTACCCATCGAGTGACACGTTCAAGGCACGAGACGCATGCGGGAATACAAAGCGTGATGGGGACACGCGGGGAGACGCGGAGGGGTACGGAGAGACACGCGGAGACGCAGGGGGAGACACGGGTGGACACGGGAGGCATGCGGGGAGACACGGGGTGGGGGGCACAGGGGGTGCACGAGGTGACACAGGGAGACACGGGGTGGGGGGCACAGGGGATGTACGAGGGGACACAGGGAGACACGGGGGTGGGGGGCACAGGGGATGTACGAGGGGACACAGGGAGACACGTGGAGACACAAGAACAGATGGGCAGATGCGGAGAAATACAGAGAACACGGTGAGACACGGGGACTCATAAAGGGGGACACGGGGAGACACGGGGGGGGGGGGGGAGGCAGGAGTCGACGGAAGTGGAGGTGGAACAAGTGGACGCTTTGGTGATGGTGGTGGGGGTGATGACGGTTTGCGGCGGCGTGATGTTCTCAGGCCAAGGGAATCTTCGAGAAGGTGGGGGAGGCGACGGAGACGGCGCTCACGTGCCTCGTGGAGAAGATGAACGTGTTCGACACCGACGTGAACCGGCTCACCAAAGTGGAGCGTGCCAACGCGTGCAATAACGTGAGCCTCACCCACACCCCGGCTCGCTCGCTCGCTCCGCTCAGCCACCGATGCGGACATCCTCGTAAATGCACCAGTGAACGAACAAAGGGATTAAGCGACGTCTCAAAGAGTTAACTTGTGAAGTCAATTAATTGAACGAGCCAGCGAACGGTAATACGAACGCACCGACGGGTGAGCAGGTAAATCGACGATCGGTGCCGGTCCACACAGATTGCTTTGAGTGAACGCGTGAGCGAATGGATGAGCCACCGGGCGAGCAACCGACTGAGAAAAAATGAACGCGGGATCCAAAGTGAACGGATGAACGAGCTGAACGAATGAACGACAGGGGGTCTGTATGGATGTTACGCTTTAACACGGAGGCTTTCGCAACCAATAGTGTCCGTGATAACGTTATATATTTTTTTTGGGGGGGGGGGGGTTAGATGGCGTAAACGCATATTTGTACTGACGCTAAATAAAAAAACTTTTTAATATTGAACTTATTTCAGCACTATACGTAGCTAACCGAGCCCCCTCTCTCCCCCCGCCCTCCTCCGCTCTGCCCCTCCACCCCGCCCCCCACTTCACCCCCCCCGCCACCCTCCACCGCCTCGCGCCCACCCCCCGCCCCCAGGTCATCAAGCAACTCATGCGCAAGGAGTTCACGCTGGAGTTCTCGCGCGACCGAAAGTCCATGTCGGTCTACTGCGTCCCCACCAAGCCCACGCGCTCCGCCGTGGGGCCCAAGCTCTTCGTAAAGGTCAGCACGGACCCACGCACGCGCACGCACGCACGCACGCGCGCGATCCACACGAATACATCGTGATCATAAGGCCGCACTCATCACACACGTTCTAGCATCGTCTCCCGGTCCAAGCCCACTCGCCCACACAAGCGGATGACAGATTCTGCCCCCCCCCCCCCCGCCTTTGATCGATATTTATCCCATCGATTTGGAGGCTTAACCCTGACCCCAACCCCTAACGCCAACTCTTCGCCTTGTTCCTTCATCCTTTATGATGATTTAAAGTGTCCGGAGAAAACACACGCGTGCGAGGGGGGGCGACGCTATATCCCATACAGACAGAACAGGTGGAGTCCACATTTCTTACTGTATCATCTTCTGGCAAAGCAGGATTATGGCTCATCCTCAATTCTGAGCCTATCCTTATACTGGTCGTACCTCTGTCACCCCCCCCCCCCTCGTCCTCCCCCCACCCTGTCCTTCCTTCTCTCCCTCTTCTTCCCACTCCCCCTCCTCCTTTCTACCCCCCCCCCCTCCACTCCCCCCTCCTTCCTCCTTTGCTCCTCCTCTCCTGTCCCCCTTCCTCCTCCTCCCCCCCCCCCCAACGGCACGCACGCGCAGGGCGCCCCCGAGGGCGTGATGGACCGCTGCACCCACGTGCGCGTGGGCACCACCAAGGTGCCCATGACGCCCGGCGTGAAGGACCGGATCATGTCGACGATCCGCGAGTACGGCACGGGCCGCGACACGCTGCGCTGCCTGGCGCTGGCGACGCGCGACACCCCGCCGCGCAAGGAGGACATGGTTCTGGAGGACTCCACCAAGTTCGGCAACTATGAGGTTCGCCCGCGCGCGTTTAAACTCAAAAATAATACGCACGGACGGGCCTCGGGAGCTAATTGGGCTCGTAACCCGAGGGACTGCCCCGTGCACTAAGCCGGGGACAATAACTACAATAGCTACAACGACCACCACCACCACCACCATCATAACTATAACCTTTCGAAACATCTCCAATGACAACCACCATCACCGTAAGGGGCAGTCCATAAATGACGTCACGCGCCTAGCGGGGGGGGGAGGGGGGGGGTCAGAAATTTGTGACGATGTGTGACGATGTGGGGGGGGGGGGGGGTTGAGAAATGTGACGTCGAATCAAAATGCGCAACTTTAAATAAATATAGACAACACGTTCTACTTAATTAAATAGACTTTTTAATAAATGTTTTTCTCCTACAACATCAGAGTGCAGCGCCACATTAAATACGCACTACAGTGACAATAGTTTAAAGCGATTTGAAGCATGTTTATTTTTTGGGGGGGGGGTCATATTTTTGAGGGGGGGGGGGTCTGACTTTTTATGACGTCGTGTGACGAAAGGGGGGGGGGGGATAGCAAAACATCTTCCAAAATCGCGTGACGTCATTTATGGACGGTCCCTATAGTTAAACTATATATTTTTTTTATTTAATCAAGTAAGGTTCCACTGAGCTATATAGCTCTTTTTCAGAAGCGACCTGAAGTGCCTCATCACTTGGAAATGTACAGCAGCCAAACTCTCTAAACACACGTTGATTCTAAATGTGGAGGTAAATCCAGGTGACCACGGGGGGAGAAGAGAGAGAGAGAGAGACAGACATCCAAACTCCAAATATACAGGCGTTCAGGGTTATGGATTGAACCCACGAATCCTCCTGCATACCAGGCGAGGCATTTAACGCCTCGCTTTCGAGGCGCCCCATTTAGTTATCGTGTTGTCCTTAGCGCCCAATGCCGCACCTCTGATTTAGCACCATTGGTTACGTACGGCGTCAAAAGAAAGGTCGACGGACGTACGTACGTACGTGGACATACCCCACCCCGCATAGAGCGGTATTCACGCGGTACAAGAGCGTGCGAGCTGGTTGGATGCCTAACATGTGAAACGATCGGCCTCTTTCCTGCCGCAGGCGGACCTGACGTTCGTGGGCTGCGTGGGAATGCTGGACCCTCCTCGCAAGGAGGTCATGGGCTCCATCATACTGTGCAGGGAGGCCGGCATCAGGGTCATCATGATCACCGGCGACAACAAGGTGCGTGCGTGCACACGCGCTCACACGCGCTCACACGTTACACCGGCACACACACACACATACGAGCGAGTGCATGGGCACACAAAAGACAAAGATCCCCCGTATTGCCTGACTAGCCTGTTGAGCCAAGTGCTGTTAGTGAGCACCTTACGAAAAGGCTGCACGGCGAACTAGGGCCGCCTCTGTCTCCCCGGTGCTGTTGTTTACGCACCGTGCCGGGTACACGTTTGAGGCTGAATCGACCTAGGGGGATTCCCAGGACCGGTTTATAGATAAAGTATATATATATGCCACTGATGGTGGCCGTCAGCAGCAATCCAATTCAGCCTGCGAGGTTCCTGGCGCAGTGCGCTTCGCCACCATAACCCAGCTGTGCCAGAATGGTCCTCTTAGCGAGTGAGGTGGCTCTCTTGGGAAATCTTCTCCGAGGGGGTCATTGCACATCTAATATTTTGTGTCTGTCGCGTGACGAGTACTCTAAACTATTTAAAACTATATATGTGTATCTGTTTTATTATACCAGCTAAGGCCCAGTGAGCTATATAGCTGTTTTTCAGAAGTGACCTGGCCACAAATGATAGCTCAACGAAGTGGCTTATCACGTGGACATTTATAATAGTAACGAATGTTGATTTCAAAAATGTGGATGGAAAAACCGGAGGAACCGGCGTTAACTCCAAATATTCAGGTGTCACAATCGGTTTCGATAACCCGCGACCTCCTGTATCGCAGGCGAAGTAGTTAACATCTCAACGCCGTGGTGCCCTCGCTTGCCTCGAGGGCGATGACGGATTCACCAAGAGACATTCCTCTTCTTCCCGTGACGGGTCCCGCGTTTTGTTTTTCTCTCTCTCCCCTCCCTCTCGTCCCTCACACGCCGCGACCACGCGCAGGGCACAGCGGTGGCCATCTGCCGTCGCATCGGCATCTTCACGGAGGACGAGGACGTGGAAGGGAAGGCGTACACGGGTCGCGAGTTTGACGACCTGCCCAGCTCGGACAAGGGACCTGCCACCATGCGCGCGCGCTGCTTCGCCCGTGTCGAGCCCTCGCACAAGTCGAAGATCGTGGAGTACCTGCAGGGATACGACGAGATCACCGCCATGGTGAGCGTGACGTACCGGTGGGGCGGGGGCGGGGGCGGCGGGGGCGGTGGTGTTGATTGTTGAGCTGGTGGTGCTGGTGGTGGTGGTGCTAACGACGGTGGTGATTGTGAGGCTGCTTTTGCAGTGGTGGTGGCGGTAATGGCTGCGATGATGATGATTGTGGTGGCAGTGGTATGAATAATGATGGCGGCGGTAGTGGGGTTACCGCCGCTGGCGGCGGTGATTGTGAGGCTGCTTGTAGTGACGGTGGCGGTAATGGCTGCGATGATGATTTTAGTGCCAGGGCTGATGATGGTGGCGGTAGTGGAGGCGCCGCCGCTGGCGGCGGTGATTGTGAAGCTGCTTGTAGTGACGGTGGCGGTAATGGCTGCGATGATGATTGTGGTGGCAGTGGTATTGGTGATGATGATAGTGGTGGTGGTGGAGGTACTGCTGCTGCCGGTGGTGGCAGCGGCGATCGTGCCAGCCGCTTCTCCCCATGTGTCGCGTCTCCCGCCCCCCGTCAGACGGGCGACGGCGTGAACGACGCCCCAGCGCTCAAGAAGGCCGAGATCGGCATCGCCATGGGCTCCGGCACGGCCGTGGCCAAGTCGGCGTCCGAGATGGTGCTCGCCGATGACAACTTCGCCTCCATCGTGTCCGCCGTCGAGGAGGGCCGCGCCATCTACAACAACATGAAGCAGTTCATCCGCTACCTCATCTCCTCCAACGTGGGCGAGGTGGTGTGGTGAGGAGCCCACTGACGAATGCGCCCGTCTCTCCCCCCCCCCCCCCCCCCTAAACATCCCCCGTGTCTGCGTCTCTCTCTGTCTCTCCGTCTCCCCGTGTCCCTGGGACATCTCTCGGTGTGCCCACCCCCCCCCCCCCCCCCCCCATCTCTATCTTCCTGTCTCCGCGTCTCTCCGTTTCCCCGTGTCCCTGGGATGTCTCTCTGTCTTCCTGTGTCCCTGTATCCACGTCTCTTTCTGTGCCCCTAGCTGTCTCGGTGTGCCCGTCTCTCTCTCTGTCTCCCCTGTTGTGTAATAATTTTCCCTGGCTATCTCTGTCCGCGGCTCTGTGTGTCCCTGTGTCCTCATGCCCCACTTTCCCTCCTTGTCCCCGTGACCTCGTCTCCTCGTGCCCCACGTTCTCAGTGCCCTCTTAGCATCCACATGTACCTTCCCATATCTATCCCTTACGTCCTGTCTTCACATCCTCGCCATATCCCTCCTGCATATCCAGATCTCTCTCATATCCCCTGTCTCCATATCTCAGATGTCCTCACCATGCCCCCAACCCGCAACCCGCAACTCCGTGCTTCTATACGTCCGAGTTCTAGTCACGATCTCTTTCCCTTCTCCCCCTGCCTGTCCTCCACCCGCACCACTTCAGCATCTTCCTGACGGCCGCCCTGGGCTTTCCCGAGGCCCTGATCCCCGTGCAGCTGCTGTGGGTGAACCTGGTGACGGACGGCCTCCCGGCCACCGCCCTCGGTTTCAACCCCCCCGACCTGGACATCATGAACAAGCCTCCTCGCAGCCCCAAGGAGGGCCTCATCAGCGGCTGGCTCTTCTTCAGATACATGGCCATCGGAGGTGAGGGCGTCCGTGGGCCGTCGGGTCGTGGGAGAGGTCCAGAGGGGGTGGTCCGTCATTGGTGTCCCTGTGACAGGGCCTGAGCGGTGGTGGGTTTTGCTGCGCGTTGTCGAGACTCCCCGTGTCTCCCTCCTCCTCGTCCTCCCCGTGTCTCCCTCCTCCTACTCCTCCACTGTCTCCCTCGTCCTCCTCGTGTCTCCTTCCTCCTCGTCCTCCGCGTGTCTCTCTCCTCCTCGTCCTCCCCGTGTCTCCCTCCTCCTCGTCCTCCCTGTCTCCCTCCTCCTCGTCCTCCCCGTGTCTCCCTCCTCCTCGTCCTCCCCGTGTCTCCCTCCTCCTCGTCCTCCCCGTGTCTGCCTCCTCCTCGTCCTCCCCGTGTCTCCCTCCTCCTCGTCCTCCCCGTGTCTCCCTCCTCCTCGTCCTCCCCGTGTCTCCCTCCTCCTCCTCCTCCTCCTCCCTGTGTCTCCCTTCTCGTCATCCGACTCGAATGTCTCCCCCGTGCACCAGGCTATGTGGGCTGCGCTACAGTGGGGGCGGCCGCCTGGTGGTTCATGTACGCCGAGGACGGGCCCCACCTCAGCTACTACCAGCTGGTGCGTGGTGATCGCCACACACACACACGGCCACGCACAACCACACAACCAGAGTCGACCACACAGCTCACACACAGTCAACCACACGGCCACACACAACCACACACAGTCAACCACACAGCCACACACAGTCAACCACACAACCAAACACAGCCAACCACACAACCACACACAGCCAACCACACAGCCAAACACAGTCGACCACACAACCACACAGTCAACCACACAGCCACACACAGCCAACCACACAGCCACACACAGCCAACCACACAGCCACAGAATCAACTACGCAGCCACACACAACCACAGTCGACCACACAACCACACACAGTCAACCACACAGCCACACACAGTCAACCACACAGCGACACACAGTCAACCACACAGCCACACACAGTCAACCACACAGCCAGAGTCAACCACACAGCCAGAGTCGACCACACAGCCACAGAGTCGACCACACAGCCACACACAGTCAACCACACAGCCACACACAGTCAACCACAGAGCCACACAGAGTCAACCACACAGCCACACACAGTCAACCACACAGCCACACACAGTCAACCACACAGCCACAGAGTCAACCACACAGCCAGAGTCAACCACACAGCCAGAGTCGACCACACAGCCACAGAGTCAACCACACAGCCACACACAATCAACCACACAGCCACACAGAGTCAACCACACAGCCACACAGTCAACCACACAGCCACACACAGTCAGCCACACAGCCACACACAGTCAACCACACAACCAGAGTCAACCACACAGCTACACACAGTCAGCCACACAGCCACATAATCAACCACACAGCCACACACAACCACACACAGTCAACCACACAGCCACACACAGTCAACCACACAGTCAACCACACAGCCACACACAGCCACACACAGTCAACCACACAGTCAACTACACAGTCAATCACACAGCCACACAGTTAACCACACACACAACCACACGGACAATGCACACACAAAATCATTCACACAAACGGTCACAAACAACCACACAAGCAGCACTGTTGTTAATTACGTGCAGTTAACACAGTGTGATTAAGAGGGGTGAGATTGGTGCATCTATGTATGTGTGGCTAGGAGATGTTAACTACCTCGCCTGACGTACAGGAGGTCGTGGGTTCGATCCCCACCCCGAGTTTGCGGTGTCTCTCTCTCCCTCTCTGTGGTAGTGTGGATTTTTCTCCGAGTCCTCTGGGTTTTCCCCTCCACATTTAGACTCAACATCATCACGCCGCTCGGAGTATTTGGCTACCGCTATAAATGTCTACGCGACGATATAAGCCACCTCGTTGGGCTATCATTTGTCGTCAGGGAGCTTCTGAAACAAGAACCGCATAGCTCAGTGGGCCTTGCCTGGTAAAATACAAATGGTTTAGTTTCATGTTGAACTTCTTTCGCACCATACACAGCCAACCGCGGAGGGTGCGGTGTTGACCAGCGCGGTTAATAGGAGCGGAGTCGGTGTGACGCGGAGACTGCGGTGTGACGCAGAGCGGTTAATAGGAGCGGAGTCGGTGTGACGCGGAGACTGCGGTGTGACACAGCGCGGTTAATAGGAGCGGAGTCGGTGTGACGCGGAGACTGCGGTGTGACGCAGAGCGGTTAATAGGAGCGGAGTTGGTGTGACGCGGAGACTGTGGTGTGACACAGAGCGGTGCGGTCAATGTGTTTGCAGAGCCACTTCCTGCAGTGCGGCCCGGACAATCCGGCGTTCCACGACGTGGAGGACTGCGAGATCTTCGAGTCTCCGGTCCCCATGACCATGGCGCTGTCCGTGCTCGTCACCATCGAGATGTGCAACGCCCTCAACAGGCGAGCAACCACAGGCACCGCAAACCAGCAACTACAATAACGTCTTCTTTGGTTCTTTCGGTAAGGTCACGTAGAATGAGAATACAATAATAAAATAAAACAGTAAAATTCTCACGACGTTTCGGCCACAACACAAGTGGCCTTCTTCAGGTGAAAGGAGCAAACCTGTCGGGACTACAGAGCTACAGGTTTGCTCCTTTCACCTGAAGAAGGCCGCTTGCGTTGTGGCCGAAACGTCGTGAGAATTTTATTGTTTTGTTTTATTATTTTATTCTCATTCTACGTGGTAACTTTACCGAAAGAGCCAAAGAAGATGAATCCTTGCAGTCACGAAAGCTTTAAATCGAAATACAATAACGTCGTCACAGCTACTAATACTGCCAACTGCTAACTCCGCAGTAACTACAACAACCGCCGTCATTACTCACTTGCCCCCTCCATAATAACCACAACAACCACCACCACCATAACTACAACAACCGCCTCCAGCAATAACTACAACTAACGTCAAAACTATTGTTACCGCCTCCACAACTCTCCACAGTAACTACAACAACCACCACCACCACCACCATCATAACTATAACCTTTCGAAACATCTCCAATGACAACCACCATCACCATAAGGGGCCGTCCATAAATGACGTCACGCGCCTGGGGGGGGGGGTCAGACATTTGTGACGATGTGTGACGAGGGGGGGGGGGTGAGAAATGTGACGTCACATCAAAATGCGCAACTTTAAATAACTATAGACAACACTTTCTACTTAATTAAATAGACTTTTTAATAAATGTTTTCTCTTGCAACATCAGAGTGCAGCGCCACATTAAATACGCACTACAATGACAATAGTTTAAAGCGATTTGAAGCATGTTTTATTTATTTTGGGGGGGGGCAGAGCTGTGTGACGTCATATTTGAGGGGGCGGGTCTGACTTTTTGTGACGCCGTATGACGACGCGGGGGGGGGGGGGGGTCAAAAATCGTCCAAAATCGCGTGACGTCATTTATGGACGGCCCGCTATGCATACGTACATTGCCAGTAGACCCCCCCATACGCAAGCGTACGCATTTGGGTTAACCCCCCCCCCCTCCCCCCTCCATGCTTACGTACTAAATGTATGGCCGTTGTCTTTGTGTCTGCAGTCTGTCGGAGAACCAGTCCCTGGTGCGCATGCCGCCGTGGGTGAACCTGTGGCTTCTGGGTTCCATGCTGCTCTCCATGTCCCTGCACTTCCTCATCCTTCACGTGGAACCCCTGCCGGTACAGACACACGTGGTGGTGGTGGTGGTGGAGGCTGTGGTGGTGGTGGTGAAGGCAGTCGTGGTGGTGGTGGTGGTGGTGAAGGCAGTGGCGGTCAAGGCAGTCGTGGTGGTGAAGGCAGTGCCCTTGCGGACACACGGCTGTGGTGGTGGTGGTGAAGGCTGTGGTGGTGGTGAAGGCTGTGGTGGTGGTGGTGAAGGCAGTGGTGGTGGTGGTGGTGAAGGCTGTGGTGGTGGTGGTGGTGAAGGCAGTGGCGGTCAAGGCAGTTGTGGTGGTGAAGGCAGTGCCCTTGCGGACACACGGCTGTGGTGGTGGTGGTGGTGAAGGCTGTGGTGGTGGTGGTGGTGAAGGCTGTGGTGGTGGTGGTGAAGGCTGTGGTGGTGGTGAAGGCAGTGGTGGTGGTGGTGGTGAAGGCAGTGGTGGTGGTGGTGGCGGTGGTGAAGGCTGTGGTGGTGGTGAAGGCAGTGGCGGTCAAGGCAGTCGTGGTGGTGAAGGCAGTGCCCTTGCGGACACACGGCTGTGGTGGTGGTGGTGGTGAAGGCTGTGGTGGTGGTGAAGGCTGTGGTGGTGGTGGTGAAGGCAGTGGCGGTCAAGGCAGTCGTGGTGGAGGTGGTGGAGGAGCGGCAGCGTAGCGGTCAGCGCGCTTGCCCTACGAACCCGGCGATCCGAGTTCGATGCCCGCTCACGGTCAATGACACCCAGTGACGATTATCTGAACCGGGGCCTCCCCTAGGTCGACTCAGTCTCAAATGAGTATCTGGTGCGGTGTAAAAAAAAATCGCCGCTGGGGAAGACAAAAGCGGCCGGGCATGGTGTTGGCCACCCACCCGATCATGTACTGTGCTAGCCTTCATAGGTGCTCGCTAACAGCACTTGCCCCAATAGTCTGTTAAGAATATACGGGAGATCTGTGCCTTCTTGTAGTAATGTAGTCTCCACGGTGTGTGTGTGTGGTAGTATAGTAATGTTTGTATGATGTGTGTGTATATGGTGGTGTACTAATGTGTATATGGTGTGTATATAGATGGTGATGTAGTAATGTAGTTTGCACGGTGTGTGTATGTGTGGTAGTATAGTAATGTTTGTACGGTGTGTGTATATGGTGGTGTACTAATGTGTATACGGTGTGTATATAGATGGTAGTGTAGTAATGTCGCCTGCACAGTGTGTGTGTGTGGTAGTATAGTAATGTTTATATGGTGGTGTACTAATGTCTATGCGGTGTGCATATAGATGGTGGTGTAGTAATGTCGTCTGCACCGTGTGTGTGTGTGTACAGATGGTGTTCCAAGTGAGTCCTCTCGACCTGACCAAATGGATCCAGGTGATGAAGATATCCCTGCCCGTCATCCTCATCGATGAGGTCATGAAGTGCTTCGCACGAAACTACTTGGAGGGTGAGAGCCACAACATAAAACAAATATCAATCTGTATTGTTGTTTACCAATCTCACGCATCGCCGTTAGTTTCAAATAATGTTTTACGTCTTCTATATATGTAGGGGTGGTGGTGGGTATGAAATAACAACCCATCATAAACGTTTACCAAGCGCCATCTCTCTGGCCAATTGGACAAAAAATCTGCGGTGGAGTGGCGCATAACTCTAAAGGAAATCACTTTGCAGAGACGGAGAGTCATTGAACACACAACAACAACAACCGCCATTCGCCACTAAGTGGCGGTGACGTCACCACGACGCTTGTGCCAGGCTATGTGCACCTTGAGGCCACGTGGAGTGTCGAACGCCCGCTGGCAGGAGGTCACGGGGCAGACCCAGGTGCCACGGGTCGACTGACTGAGATGACTGGCTGGTGCACCACCTGTGCCCCCTACTGTGCCAACCTAAAGCACAGCACAACAGACACACACACGGACATTAAGAATAAAAAAAACCGGAATGGATCGTTCTCAGTGCCCAGATCAATCAGTGTGACCACAAGTAAAATATATATATTTTTTTAAATGCGCATATTCTTTCAAGTTTCTTTTTTTCTTTGTGTCTATCACCTCTAACGTCGTTCATTAAAAGCAGAACATAAATAATCGGCGACGTTTCGGCCAAGGGCCCTTCTTCATGTCACATAAAGTTGGGTAAATCTGGTCTCGCACACAAAAAAAAAACAGATATCCCCCCGTGTAGCCTCAACAAGACTTTTGTGGGGGGCCAGGTGCTGTTAGCGAGCACCGCACGAAGACTAGCACGGCACGCAACGCGGATGGATGGCCCGCACCACGCCCGGCCGCTTTTGTCTCCCTAGTGGCGATGTTGATAAAAACTGCACGCATTTAAAGGCCGAGTCGATCTGGCAAAGGCCCCAGAACCGATTCAGATATTCGCTGCCACTGTTCTTGGCCGTGAGCGGGAATCAAACTCGGGTTCCCGGGGTTCGTAGCGCAGTGCGCTAACCACTGCGCCACCGCTCCCCATATAGGACGCGTTGTACACTGTACGGTTCATTTTTTCAGTTCATTTAATTTATTTTGGTATAGCCCTGTGAGCCATTCGGCTCTTGAATCGGGTGCAACCACAACAAACAAAAAAACAAAAACACGAACAAGAGAAACATCTTAAAGTGACTATGTGTGACTGTGCAAACAGAAAATCCATGAAAAAAACCCAGCAAAAATATTCCTGAAAAAAGCACCGTACACCAACGCTGTGTGCAAAAAATCCCAGTGGGATGCAAGTCAAACAACAACAGCCACAAGACAACTTAGATTAAGGCCATCAGTCTAACTCCGTACTATAACAAAACAAACACGTACAAACCAAAAAACGCTTTCGAAATCACCAAAAAATAAAGCAGGACATTGTACAACAACGACCGTCCTTCACCACAAAGTGGCTTGTGCCAGGCTAGGTGCACCTTAAAGCCACGTGAAGCGTCGAAGGCTCACTGCTGGCAAGAGGTCAGGTGACGGACCCAGGTGCCGTGGGTTGACTGACGTGAGATGACTCACAAATGCGTGGTACCACGTACGAGCAGGAAACCCAAACGCGTGAATGATCATTAATCTAATGTATACACCCCGAGGTCTATACATTACGCCTGTGTTCGTTCCCATCCCAGCCATCAAACGGTGTGTGTGCATAACCACGCGTGCTGTGTGTGTACTGTGTGTAAACATCACCACGTGCACTGTGTGTACTGTGTGTGTACTGTGTGTACATAACCTAGACTACGGCGTTTACTGTGTAAACATCGCCACGTGCACTGTGTGTGCGCTGTGTGTGTGTACTGTGTGTGTGCTGTGTGTGTGCTGTGTGTAACCATCACCACGTGCACTGTGTGTGTACTGTGTGTGTGTGTGTGTACTGTGTGTGTCCTGTGTGTAACCATCACCACGTGCACTGTGTGTATGCTCTGTGTAAACATCACCACGTGCAGTGTGTGTACTGTGTGTGTACTGTGTAAAAAGTACCACGTGTACTGTGTGTGTACTGTGTGTACTGTGTGTGTGTCTACTGTGTAAACATCACCACGTGTACTGTGTGTGTACTGGGTGTGTACTGTGTGTGCTGTGTGTAAACATCACCACGTGCACTGTGTGTGTGCTGTGTGTGTGTGCACTGTGTGTGTACTGTGTGTAAACATCACCACGTGCACTGTGTGTGTGTGTGCTGTGTGTGTACTGGGTGTGTACTGTGTGTGTACTGTGTGTAAACATCACCACGTGCACTGTGTGTGTGCTGTGTGTGTGTGTGCACTGTGTGTGTACTGTGTGTAAACATTACCACGTGCACTGTGTGTGTGCTGTGTGTGTGTGTACTGTGTGTGTACTGTGTGTAAACATTACCACGTGCACTGTGTGTGTGTGTGCACTGTGTATGTGTGTGCTGTGTGTGTGTGCACTGTGTGTGTGTGTGTGCTGTGTGTGTGCACTGTGTGAAACCCTAACCTCACCGCGTGTCCTCCCATTCCACGCGTGCGTTCTGCCCCTCACAGCCTAACCACCTCCAAACATCAGTTCGACTCCAGGTACCGAACCCCACCCACCCCATTGCCTGCAATGCCTGCCACGTTGCGTGCATGCAATTGCTGCACCCGGAGACCCACGGGGTCGGGATTGCGAACCTGCCAAGGCTCGCCCCGGACCGGCTCTGTGCATTTTGTTGAGCCGGCCACGTTGGGGTTGCAACCCCTCCACCCACCCCGCCTGGTGCGCGCAGTGTGATGGAACGTGCTTCATGACGGAACGTGCATCTCGTGCAGGAGAGCCCTTGGTTGGGGCGAGGGGGGGGGGGCTCGTCTGCGTTGATCCCCTGCGAATGTTTCTGCGTTTAGCACGTGGTTCGACGCGTCTGCCCCATGCCTTGATGCTGCACGTTTGAGAAATGCCTTGTTGCGGTGTCAGCCGAGCAATTGCGTCGTGTCAGATTTCAGCCGCGGCAAGGTCGCTCGAACGCGCCTCGGCTCGGCTCGGCTCTCTTTTTTGTTTGTTTTCCCGAAGTTTCTTCGGTTGCCTTTCCTCTCCCTTGCTGGCGAAGGAACCACCGGGTTGCTTGCACGACGATAACAACAACAAAAACTGGAGGAATGTAAATGTGCCTGTGGTTTATTGTCTGCGAGGAGGGTTTTTTGGGCAATGCTGTTGTATCCCTCGAAGCATGACAAGGGATGGTTGTCAGTTCGGCTCCTCTTGAGCCCTGGGGTGGAGTCCATTTGAGCACGAACAAAGCTGAGCGTGGCTCTGTTGATATTGCCCGGTGTGTGTGTGTGTGCTTTAAGACATCGCAGTTAAAGCCACGATCGCCAGCTACGAGTCAGAAGATCTCTCTGCCCACCTTATCATAAGTGGGCCAATTGTCCACAATGTCAGTCCGCTGTAAATAATATATATTTTAAATTAAATAATTATAATTATTTACAGCCCCTTGTCAATCCGCTGCTGCATTATTGCCTCCTTACCCACGTCGTGTCAGTCATGGATGGGGTCTCGTTTGACCATTCTTCACCATCCTGCTCAGTGCAGGCCGTAGAGAGTGCCCCCAGGACTGATTCGGATATCTCGTGCCACGGATGTTGGCCGTGGCTGGGCGTCGCCAGGTTCATAGCCACCCACTCCACCCCGGTTAGCACGGTTGGCTACGTACGTTGCGAAAGAAGTTCAACATACCTATGGTACATATTCTGCGTTCTTCCGGTAAAGTCACGTAGATAGAAAATAAAATAAAAGTTAATCAAATTAAATAAAAATAAATTGAAAATAATTCAAGCAAAAAAACCACGACGTTTCGATCGCAACACAAGCGGTCTTCATCAGGCGGAGAGAAAGGAGGGGGCAAGCCTCCAAATGCAACTGCTGTCTGTAAACGGATCGCCCTGTGTTGCTCGAGAGAGAGACACCGCAAACTCCAAATATACAGCAGCAGGCGTCAGGGTCGGAATTGAACTCCACGACCTCCTGCATACCAGGCGAGGTAGTTAACATCTCGCCACCGTAGCACCCCCCCCCCCCCCCCCCCCGACGAAACAATTTCCCCACTTTCATAGCCCCGGGCCCGATGTAAACCAGTGGTAGTGTAGCATACTCAATAGAAACACCACCACTCTTCTTTGACATGCATCCACACCGATGTGGGCCAATTGTGAGAAAGCATCGAGATTTGTCGCGCGTTCTTCACCTGTCGGCTTGTTTCCCCTCCCCCGCACCCAACATTTTTTTTGCTGTTCGCAAGGCGATTGTTTATATTGGAAGAATTGCAAACGCATTGTGTCGCACGATGCCTGGAATTATTCTTCTTCTTCTGGGACCCCTCGTAGTCGAGTATGGTTTCCCTCCAGGTGTCACCACGTGTCTGTGTTGTGAAGTGGACCTGGCTGTCCATGGGTCCGGAGATGGCTGAATAGGCCAATCCGTGAGCTGCAGATCTTGGCACAGTGGGGGGCACCAGGATGGTCCATCCTGGTGCCCCCCACTCGTCGTTGTCTCTCTCTCTCTCTCTGGTGCACGTGCTTTGCGGCGTGCTCTTTAACATTGTCATCAACTCTCTTCGCCCAGGCCTCAAAATTCTGAGTTCCATCATTAGACCTCCTTTGCCAGTACCAAAATATAATAATAGGGTTTTTCCCCTTGTTTGATGTAGATGCTCACCCCGAGCCCTCATTACTTTGATAGTGGCATTGTCTTTGAGCTGCGTGACGCCTTTTGGCGTCATCTGGTCGAGCACCAATTGGGTCGAGGCTCAAACAGAAAGCCGTCTCTGGTGTGGACCAATCAGTTTCAAGGACAATGCATATTATCAGTGTGTTGTTTGTTTGCATTTTGACCACAAGTATTGTGGTTAATGCACACATGATTCCTTGTAAAAAAGGTTTCAGTTTTGTTGTCAGAAAAAAAGGGGAAAAACCCTATTACAGTAAAACCTTGTATTGCGAGTAACTTGCTCTGCGAGTGTTTTGCAATTACGAGCAAAAAAATTAAAATGAATATTAATTTGATAAACGAGCGAGGGTCTTGCAATACGAGTAGTAGTACGTGTATACGCTTTGTACTGCCGAGCGTCACGTTATCACAACTGACATGCGAGTGCTTTGATATACGAGCGCTTTGGATTACAAACACGTTTCCGGAACGAATTATGCTCGCGATCCAAGGTTTTACTGTATTATGCGGAGTTCCATTGTTTATTTTGGCCCTCCATGATGGTCTATCAAGAGCATAGACGTCCCAGTTGGTTGGATCTATCTATATATGGAATCCAGCGCTGTGGAGGCAGCAGCAGCGAGCGAGGGTTGGTGTTGTGAAAGTCCCTTCTCGTGAGGGTCAAGGTTGCCCCGTTACCCTGGCTCGCCGGGTGAAATGCGGCACAATGTGGACTCCGCCTGTTCCGTCTGCACGGGATAGAGCGATTCCCCCCCACGTGCAAGGCTGCAGATCATTTCGGGAGTTGAGGACGCGACGTGTATGCGACACACACGCGGTTGCTTTTCCTGCCATTATTGGCTATCTCTGAGGTGCGTGTTAAACTGAACCCCCTTTTTTATTTTTTTTTACGAGGTAAGGCCCACCGAGCGATACAGCTCTTTTTCAGAAGCGAACCTGGCTATTGCAAATCATAGCTCAACGAAGTGGCTTATCAATTACGTTGACATTTATAGCAGCCAAATGCTCTAAACGCATGTTTCTAAATGTGGAGGGAAAAAAAGTTCGTCCACCAAGGGCATATGAAAGTCCTATTGTTGGCCTAATCCAGAAAAAGGATCCCCACCACGGATATAAATGTTACGAACCTTGCGTTGTTTTACCAAGATCCTGAAACATAATCACAACTGGCACGAGCAGCAGCATCATCTCCGTGTGGGAGACGCTCATGATAATGACACAAAGCCTATATACAACGAGCGTTGGGCGCCAGTCGTCTTTGCTAAGGGTACTGAGCTGGTGGAGGTAATTCCACCTTCCTATGGCGGAGGATGTTTATTTTAAAGTTTAGAATGCAAAGTGGTACTGCATTCTACTGCTTTATTGACACTGCAGTGGGATGATGATGGCCTCAGTTGGCAAAGGGTCAGATTACTGAGAAGTAACACAAAGATTAATGTTTCCCAGTGGCATTTGCGTGATAAACAAGACGACACTGGGCCGCCATCTTAATTCTCACTGAGACTCGTTAACACGGCGGTGGCCATGTACATCAATAACCACTGGTCCGGTAATAATGCAGGACTCACTATTGGAAGGTTTCCAGTTGAAGCACAGGCCCTGGAATGGTTCGACAAAATAAGCCACAATAAGGTGGTATGATGGGAAAACTTGTCCCGCCATGGGAATGTGGAATTTCCACCACTGGCTACAAATTGCCAGCGGAGATGAGTGCTACTGCATCCCTATTGTTTGTGAGACTGCTGCATCCTTAAACGTCGATTGTTTGTGACACTAGGTATCTGTTAAGACGACGGGCTGGACACAGCTGGTGTCGGATTAACAGCGGTTACACCGCGAACATCACCACAGGAACATCCACACGATGACTGCCGGGGGAATCGAACTCTCGCCCCTCCACGGTCATGGGCCCAGCGGCGAGCCGACCTGCACAGCCTCAACTGCTGCCACCCTGACTGCATTTCCCCCCTTTCTCTCTCTCTCTCTGCAGGTGGAGACCGAGGAGTGGAAAACTGAGGCAGGGCGAGGCCACAACCCGGAGCCTGGAGCCTGGGAAGACACTGGAAGGGAGGGGGGGGGGGGGAAGGGAGGGATCAGACTTGCGTCGGTGATTCCGCCCATATTTATTCATCAGGGAAAAAATGCACAAACGTACAATTCGATACGAATCACAAAATAGGTAATTATGTAAAAGGACAGATTTGTTTAGTTGCTCGATGGGTAAAATATCATCCCGTTCAGACCCCGTCGGTCATTCTTCTGGGTTAAACGTTGATATCGAGTTTGCTGGGTCTCATCAGCAGGGTGTGGGTCTCGTGTAAGAAAATGCTGAGAAAAGTTCAAGCATTTCAAATGCAAATCTCTCAAACTTCTTTCCTGCCCCCAACCCAACCCCCGATCCCGAACCCTAACCACCTCGCACTCTGCGCACGGTCAATGCGGGACAAACAGCTACCCCCCCCCACTGTGACGCCGTGCCATATATATTCTTGGCGGGCGACGGTTTAGGGCCTCGGAGAGTTTTCGCCTTCTCAGTTTCATGTCCACCGATGACGTAAAAATAAAAAAAAATCCCACGTTTCCGTTTCTCCTCTTTGAAACAAACCAGACAATATTTATTTATTAAACAAAAAAAAATCATCGCCGGCAACCGAACTGAAATGCCCGATGAACCACGCAAAAGGGGGCGTTTGGTCGCTGCCCAAAAAAAATAAAGTTTTTCGTTGCGAGAAAATTTTTTTTTTTCTCCCCGTTTGTTTTTAGGCGAGGGGAGGCGGGGGGGGTGGGGGAGGCTTCTAGTTGACGCCGGGGCGGCAACGGGGCCCCCGGCGTGGCCGAACCGCGTTCAAACTCCCCGCCAGGAGACCCCGAGACGTCTTAAAGCGCGCGAGTGCGTGTGTAACGCGTTGTGCGCGCCCCGCCCGGCTTGTTCATAATGTCCGGCCGTCGCTCGTTGCGGACCCCGCCGCTTTGTTCCATGCTGCTTGCCCTGTAGAGTTTTTTTTGCGGTTTTTTTTTTTGGGATGATCATTTTAAAAAGGTTTAATGGAAAAAACTAGAAAAAAGTACATTTACGAACGAACGGTGGAATTGATGGTTAATAAAGAAGTGGAATGGGAATGTTAAAACCTCGGTCAGGATGTGTTTGTCGAAGCGAGCGTCGCACCACCACGATGAGCGCGCTTTGGTGCGTTTTTAAACAAGTGCACGACTACCACGTTAACAGCACCGACGACTCCCCCCCCCCCCCCCCCCACAGTAGCGCACAAGGAACATGTCAGTGAATCGAGCTGTGAAACGAGCAGACAGAGTTTATTGAAAAATTGTTCGCAAGTGTACAAAGATACAGACACGCACACCAACACACACGCTGGATGAACGACATGTCCTGGAGACGTCTCTCATCGCCCCACCTTATCGCCCCATCTCGTCGTCGCCCGATCGCCCCTTAACCCCAACCCCAGCCTCGTTGCTCACCGCGGCAACATCGCCCAAACCTTGGTCTGGCGGAGAGGGATGGACTTGGGTTTGGTGTTAAAGAGAGATTTTAGGGCCGTTTAAGGGACATTCAGGGTTTATTTATTTAGAGCTGAGAGGTTTAAAGCCGGGTTTTGATGGCTAAAGTCTGTATGAGCTGGGGTTAATGCTGGGCAGAGCCAGGGTAGGGGGGCTGGGTGTATGTTTTAATATAAACCGGGTTAGAACCAGACATGCGTTAAATTGGCATTAGCACCAGGATTAATTGTGCAAGCAACGGACTGGGTTCAATGTTAATCCAAGCTTATTGGCCGTGGTTAGAGCTAAGCTGAGATCGAGTTGGGCGGTTTAAGATAAAGCTGGGTTTTATTAATTAGGGCCGGGGTTTAGGATAAAGCTGGGTTGAGTGCAGGGTGTAAAGAGTCGTGTGAAACCAGGCTTCGGGGCTTTGTCGTAAGCCTCAGGGTGACGCCCGACGCGGTCTCCGCCGTGCCGCCCGGACTGTGCTACTGTCCCGGTGCCGACAGGGACTTGTTCATGAACTGCCTCTTCACGAAGCACATCCACCACTGCAACACCGATAAACACGTGCACGCACCACACACGCACACGCACGCACGCACACGCACGCACGCGCACCACACACGGATACAAACGCACAAACATTGATGGATGCACTCACGACCGCACACAAAATGCGTATAACGCAAGCACGCACGAGGACACAATAAGCGACCGCCATTTGCCACTAAGTGGCGGTGACATCGCCACGGCGCTTGTGCCAGGCTGTGTGCGCACTTCCAAGGCCTCGTGAAGTGTCTAACGCCCGCTGGCAGGTCAGAGGACAGATCCAGGTGCCGTGGGTTGACCGACTGAGAAGAAGACAGACAACGATCCCCCCCCCCCCCCCCCCCATACAGTAAAACCTTGGATCGCGAGCAGAATTCGTTCCGGAAACGTGTTTTGTAATCCAAAGCTCTCGTATATCAAAGCACTCGTATGTCAGTTGTGATCACGTGACGCTCGGCAGTACAAAGCGTCGATACGTACTACTACTCGTATTGCAAGACCCTCGCTCGTTTATCAAATTAATATTTATTTAAAATGTTTTGCTCGTCTTGCAAACCACTCGCAGACCGAGTTACTCGCAATCCAAGGTTTTACTGTGTCGCCTTAACAGACTGTTTCGGCAAGTGCTGTTAGTGAGCAGCTGCGAAGGGCGGCACGGCACACGAGGGGGTGGGGGAGCCAACATCAAGCCCCGGCCGCCTTCGTCTCCCTAGCGGCGATGTTCGCACAACGCAATAGGTACTCATTTGAGGCCGAGTCGACCTAGGGGAGGGGCCAGGACCGATTCAGATAATCGTCACTGGTGTTGGCCCGTGAGCGGACAATCGAACTCGGGTCGCCAAGTTCAAGCGCAGCGCGCTAACCGCTGCACCACCGCTCCCTCCAAATCCGAATAAGCACGCGCGCAAAATCCGGCCCCCACCGCTCCCCCGCACGCATGCGTACAAACGGAAACACGCACGCGCACTCGCATGTACGTACACACAGGCGCGCATGGACGTGCACACAAAGCGCTCGTGAGACTAAACGAGCAAACGAATGCACAAAATGCGTGCACAACACAAGTGGCCTAATGAAGCACACACATGGACAAACAAAACGGAGCATCCCCTGTATAGCCTTAGCAGGCCCTTGGGGGCAAAGTGCCATTCAAAGGGGAAACTGGAGAATCTTTGTCTTGTGTGCGCCACAAACCCCGTGATCTAAGAAGTCCGATGCTTGGCCGTGGATAATATCAGTGTGGCGTGATATCCGACCTCCTCTTGGATCCTATTATTCACCAACCAGCATTGCCCAGCAAAGTGAAGAATGGTCGAACAACTAACTCCCTTGACCAATACGGAATGGTGAAGCTTTCATCTAGTCAAGGTTTGAAAGGGGCAGGAATGCACGCGATTTATGTACATGTTATGATATTTATGTGCATTATATATTATTTATGTATATGTGCAAATAAGTGTGCGCGTATGTAGTGCGTGTACAGGACTCGTTGTGCACGAGCATATAGTGCGTGTGAGTACGTGCAAGATCGTGCATGTACTCTGCATGTGTGTACAAGTTGGACATACCACGTCGTGTGTATCGTATGAACATGTTGGCTACATACGGTGTGAAAGAACTTCAACATACACACACGTTTATGAATGAGCGGTGCACGTGCGCGCGTATGTTTTTAAAGGTAAAGGGGGCAGCCCTGGAATTTGCGTGCACACGCCACTGCAGGGTGAAGGCTCTCCACTAGGGGAAGCTCCAGCGAGGCCCTCCAGGAGGTGGATAGCCGCCCCAGTCTTCCACACTGCGCAGACATCTCGTAAGAGGTGGGAGTACCCATTTATACTGCTGGGTAAACACGCAGTGAATGGGGGGAGGGGGGATTTATGTAACTTGCTCCTTGCTTCAATTTCCGTGCCAGGAGATGAAATCGAACTTGCTAACTGTGGATTTCAAGTCCCCGGTGCTCACCATTTCACCACAACAGTTTCCCTGCATATTTGTGTATCAGTGTAAGTATGTGTGTGCGTATACTCTGTGCGGTCGGGCGTGGTGCTGGCCATCCACCCCCTCGTGTGTTATGCCGGCCTTCGGAGGTGCTGCTCACTAACAGCACTTGCCGCTCCAACAGTCTGCTACAAGCTAGCTATACGAGGAATCTTTGTCTATATTTATTTGGTATACTTTGTGCATGTGCACACACTGTGAGTATGTACTGTGCGTGATCTTACCTTGCTGGGTTTGTCCGTGGCCGGGTCAAACACGCGCTCACACAAACGCAGCCCCGTCTCCTGCCTCAACTGCTGCAGGTAGCCCCTCATCATCTCTACACACAGCACACAGGTAACCTCTCATCAGCTCTACACACAGTACACAGGTAACCTCTCATCATGTCTACACACAGTACACAGGTAACCCCTCATCATCTCTACACACAGTACACAGGTAACCCCTCAACATCTCTACACAGTACACAGGTAACCTCTCATCATCTCTACACACAGGACACAGGTAACCTCTCATCATGTCTACACACAACACACAGGTAACCCCCCAACATCTCTACACACAGTACACAGGTAACCCCTCAACATCTCTACACACAGTACACAGGTAACCCCTCATCATTTCTACACACAGTACACAGGTAACCTCTCAAAATGTATACACACAGCACACAGGTAACTCCTCATCATTTCTACACACAGCACACAGGTAACCTCTCTACACACAGTACACAGGTAACCTCTCGTGTCTACACACAGTACACAGGTAACCTCTCATCATCTCTACACACAGTACACAGGTAACCTCTCATCATGTCTACACACAGGACACAGGTAACCTCTCATCGTGTCTACACACAGTACACAGGTAACCTCTCATCATCTCTACACACAGTACACAGGTAACCTCTCATCATGTCTACACACAGTACACAGGTAACCCCTCATCTCTACACACAGCACACAGGTAACCTCTCATCATCTCTACACACAGTACACAGGAAACCTCTCATCATGTCTACACACAGCAAACAGTTAACCTCTCATCATCTCTACACACAGTACACAGGTAACCTCTCATGTCTACACACAGTACACAGGTAACCTCTGATCATGTCTACACACAGTACACAGGTAACCTCTCATGTCTACACACAGCACACAGGTAACCCCTCATCATCTCTACACACAGTACACAGGTAACCTCTCATCATCTCTACACACAGTACACAGGTAACCCCTCAACATCTCTACACACAGGACACAGGTAACCTCTCATCATTTCTACACACAGCACGCAGGTAACCTCTCATGTCTACACACAGCACACAGGTAACCCCTCATCATCTCTACACACAGTACACAGGTAACCTCTCATCATCTCTACACACAGTACACAGGTAACCTCTCATCATGTTTACACACAGTACACAGGTAACCTCTCATGTCTACACAGCAAACAGGTAACCTCTCATCATGTCTACACACAGCACACAGGTAACCCCTCATCATCTCTACACACAGTACACAGGTAACCTCTCATCATGTTTACACACAGTACACAGGTAACCTCTCATCATGTCTACACAGTACACAGGTAACCTCTCATCATGTCTACACACAGTACACAGGTAACCTCTCATCATGTCTACACACAGTACACAGGTAACCCCTCATCATCTCTACACACAGCACGCAGGTAACCTCTCATCATGTCTACACACAGTACACAGGTAACCTCTCATCATGTCTACACACAGTACACAGGTAACCTCTCATCATCTCTACACACAGTACACAGGTAACCTCTCATCATCTCTACACACAGTACACAGGTAACCTCTCATCATGTTTACACACAGTACACAGGTAACCTCTCATGTCTACACAGCAAACAGGTAACCTCTCATCATGTCTACACACAGCACACAGGTAACCCCTCATCATCTCTACACACAGTACACAGGTAACCTCTCATCATGTTTACACACAGTACACAGGTAACCTCTCATCATGTCTACACAGTACACAGGTAACCTCTCATCATGTCTACACACAGTACACAGGTAACCTCTCATCATGTCTACACACAGTACACAGGTAACCTCTCATCATGTCTACACACAGTACACAGGTAACCTCTCATCATGTCTACACACAGTACACAGGTAACCTCTCATCATGTCTACACACAGTACACAGGTAACCTCTCATCATGTCTACACACAGTACACAGGTAACCTCTCATCATGTCTACACACAGTACACAGGTAACCTCTCAACATCTCTGCACACAGTACACAGGTAACCTCTCATCATCATTACAAACACAGCACACGCAGTCACTATTAACCACAGTACACAGACAAGTGCAGCACACACAGCGCACAGCAAGCACAGTGTGCAGTGAACGGCACAGACACAAGTAGCCCCTCAACACTTCTACAGACCGCAGGACTCCACACTCTTTGGCACGCTTTCCCACCTGATGACGGACGCTTGTGTTGCGCCCGAAACGTCGTTGCCGATTTCATTTTATACCTCCGTGACTTTACCGACAGAATCAAAGCGTATACCTCTACAGGTGTACTGATCACACATTCAACACAGTGCGCGCAGCACTGTAGGGAGCGCTGTGGCCACACCCAAGGAGACACCCCCACCTTCGGTTAGCACGGTTGTCTACTTTCTAGCGGAACCGCTTAACTTCAGCCCAACGCTTCGCACTTCTGTGCCGCCCTGTGCCACGGCGGCGCGTCATGTCGTGTTGTCACGTGCCACTGCGTTGTCACCGATGTTGAACTTCTTTTGCGCCGTGCGCTGCCAACTGTGCGAATCGGTAGGTGTTTGTTGCCTGTTGGCAATGCCAATTCTCTCTCTCTCTATCTCTCTTTACCACATCCAAGCGGGCACTGTAGCATACTGCTCACTGGTGTTCACTCAGTACCTTACTGCTTTTGGGACCCGCAGAGGGCAGTGAGGCAGTGCCCGCCAAGCTGGTAGCGTCATAACACCGTGTTGCCGCATTATGTTACGTCATCCTAGAGTAAAACTAAACTATTTCATTGACCAGGTAAAGCTCACCGAGCTATATGCTCTTTTTCAGAGGGAGACCTGGCCACACGTTGTAGCTCATCATCAAAGCGAATTATCACTACTTGGCAATGTACAGTAGCAAGCAAGATAACCTCAGCACATGTTTGTGAATGTGGAGGGCAAAAGCGGAGGACCCGCACGGGAGAGCACGCAAATTCAAACTATACAGGCGTCAAGGACGGCACCAAACCCACGACCCTACTGCGTACCAGGCGAGGGAGATAACATCTCGTCACCGCGGCGCCCCCACGCTGCGTTCCCCGGCATCTCGTCGTGACGCCGCGATGTGCTACGTCGCAGCGTCAGTGTGCTGCGTGGCATCGCGCTGTCACGTGGCGTCGCAACAACCCGTGCCCTCGTGTCAGGCTGCCCTGCCACGCCGCGCTCCCCGGCGTCGTGGCGTGGCGCGACAACGCGTTCCAAGTCGGGCGCGTAGCGGACGGGGGGTTGTCGGGTGCGGTAGCGCGGCCGCGCGGCGGTGCCTCACCCTCCTCGGCGCGCCCGCTGGGCTTGGCGTACATGGCGTTGAGGGGAAAGCCGCCTTCTCCGGGGATGGGGAAGTTCGTGATGCCCAGGGAGTACATCTCCTTCTCTCCCTGGCCCTTGGACGTGCACTGCGCCAACACCATCGACAACATCGACACCCGTCAGCGGCCAACAACATCAAGACCAATGCAAATAATGCCGGCACAACAACGCTGACTGACGAGCAACATGAACGGGATCAACGTGAACGTCATCAGTGTCAGGACTGTGAACGCCGTCACCACCAACGTCGTCGTCAACGGTGATAATCCGACATCATCGCTACCAATATCACATCAACTCTATCAACTTCCACTCCATAAGCATCGTCGTCATCATTATCAGCAACATGAAAGATCCCGCGCATAGCCTTTAACAGATTGTTAGGGAAAGTGCTGTTAACGGGCATCTATGAAGGCCCGCACGGCACACGAGGGGGTGGCTTGTAAAAACCACGCCCGGCCACCTTTGTCTCCCCAGTGGTGATATTTACATACCACACCAGGTATTCATTTGAGGCTGAGTCAACCTAAGGGAGACCCAGGACCGGTTCCAATAATCATCACTGGTGTTGGCCATAAGCGGGAATCGAACCTGGGTCATCGGGTTCGCAGCGCAGCGCACCAATCGCTACATCACCACCATCAACACCAACATCCCATCAACTAAGCCAATATTAACAAACTATCAACATCGTCACCACTACCAACATCATCATCACCAACATCACGCACCTTCTGCAGTTTCTTGAGGCACTCGGTGATGTAAAGAGTCACGTAGATCAGAGTGCGGTCTGCCTCATTCTGAAAACGCACACAAAAACAAAGATCCCCCGTATAGCCTTAAAAGACTGTTGCAGCAAGTGCTGTTAGTGAGCACCTGTGAAGGCCAGTACGGCACACGAAGGGGTTGGTGGCCAGCACCACGCCCGGCCGCCTTGATCTCCCTAGAGGCGACGTTTACACATCGCACTAGGTACTCATTTAGGGCTGAGTCGACCTAAGGGAGGCCCATGACCAGTTCAGATAATCGTCACTGTGTTGGCCATGAGCGGGAATCGAATTCGGGTTTCCAGGTTTGTAGTACGGCGCACTAACCGCTACAATATCGCACACACACAGACACATGGAGACACACAGAGACATGGAGATAGACACGGAGATAGACACAGAGACACATGCACACACACAGAGACACACATTGACAATTCGGGTTTTTCAGGTTTGTAGTGCGCGCACTAACCCTTACACTATCGCACACACACAGACACACGGAGACATGGAGATAGACACGGAGATAGACACAGAGACACATGCACACACACAGAGACACACATTGACAATTCGGGTTTCCAGGTTTGTAGTGCGCGCACTAACCCTTACACTATCGCACACACACAGACACACGGAGACATGGAGACAGACACGGAGATAGACACAGAGACACATGCACACACACAGAGACACACATTGACAATTCGGGTTTCCAGGTTTGTAGTGCGGCGCACGAACCATTACACCACCGATCCCTCTGAATCTGAACACACACACACAATCCAGCCGCAGATGCGATATATTTTATAATAGATGCTGATTGAGTTGATGTGGACATATAAACTGGTGATGGCTAATATAAATGGCGGTGATGGCGATAAAGGTTTGGATGATGGCGATGTAGATGGTGATGGAGTCGATGGCGATGACATTGATGGTGGGCGATAGTGATGCAGGCGAGGATGGCGATGGCAAATGTGGTGGACGTATCACCTTGATCTCGTAGTTCTTGAAAAACACATTCGCCTTGAAGTACATGATGGCTTCATCAATGATGTCCATCTCCCTAGCTAAGTACCACACGCAAACACACACAGAATCACGTACAAGTCAATATCAAACCTCCAATGAGCCGCTGTGACGTCATCAGCACCACTACCATCCGGCTTCAAATCTTCCCCACGATCACCTCCCTCTCGGTGCCAAACAAATACCAGGATCTCAGAAACGTGTCTTCCTCCATCCTACCTTACTCCTTGCAAACTCAGCTTGATGATTACACACTTTCCTACCACTTTGCGTTGCGAACCCCTAAGTCGCTCACCCTTTCCTACCATGAACGTCCTCACATCCCCAGCATGCACCGATATATTCAACGCAGCGCACACAGACGTTAAACGTTGGCTTTAAATTCGTTGAGAAAAATCGAACTTACATTCTTCTCCCCCCCCCTCACCCCCCACCCCCATTGGAAAGCATTGGAGAGCAGGGATCGCTTTGACAGATATTTCTATTTTAACACTCAAAAGGGGAAATGGGTTGTTTGAGGAGACGCTCAAGTCAGGGACCCCCAGTGTCTGGCCTCGGTGCCTAAACACTGCCAAGAGCCTGCACTCTTCCAGCCAAGGCCTTCGATAAACAACCCTGCATTTAATTACGTTTCATTTATATTTCAGTAAGCGCCCGTCACAGAACACGAAGCGTAATGCGGCGGAGGGGATATACAGAAACTCCGCGGGCAGCAGGCCAGACACTCTCCTGCGCTCCGACACTTCGAGGAGGGAAGAGGTTTGGCTCACTGCCCCCAGTGGGGACCGCGAGCGGGGTACATGGACTCTTATGTGGTAGAGGGGAAGGTAGGGGAAGAATAACTTGACGGATGCAGGTGGGAGAAGGGGGGGAAAGGGGGGGGGGGCAATCTTGGATAATTTGAACACTCCACATTTGCTACATGCGAAACGATTTCTTCGCAAGAAAGTTGTGTTTGGAAAGAAGTGATGTCAGAGCTTCCACAGTCAGCTTGTGGTGGTTTTCCAGGCGAGAGAAGCCAATTTTGGTGATAGACGGTCACTCCATAAACGTTTGTATTCAGAAAGCATCAAACTCATTTGAGATATTGTGTGTGTTAGTCAGTGATGCAGTGTTGGGCCAGATTGAAACTTTTAGGCTGGCCTGCCTACAATAAATCCTGGATATAACCAGACTAGACTGTGTCAGGAGCTCACAGATCCTTGAAAGATCTGGACACAGTCCCATCAGTGAGCTCTCTGGCAGGCGAAGTTGCATTGGTTGGGTCAAATCGCCCGCATGCCCAGCCACCGCAAGCCCAAACAACTTCTTTTTGGCTGGATAGAAGGGGCTAAACAGGGTGCGGCACAGGTTAAAGAAAAGAAGGGCTGATGTGATACAAGAGGATATGGAGTTGAGTGGACTTGCCGATGGCTGGTACTTATGCGATCAAGATCAGCTTCTGTGGAGGAGGCTCCTAAAGGATGCTATTGGGCAGTTGGAGGTAGTTGCCCTCCAACAACAACGATTGGCAGAAGAATGACACTCACAATGAATGGAGTACTGGGCGGCTACAATGCAGCAAGTTGGCACAGGTGAGAGAGCATCTGTCAGTCATCTCTAAGAGCTAACCCATAACACCTGGGTCTGTCCCATGACCTCCTGCCAGCAGTGAGCCTTCGACACTTTACGTGGCATCATGGTGCACCTATCACTGTGGTAACGTCACCGCGGTGTGTGCAAATCATTGTGCAGGGGTTCACTCACTTTCTTTGGGAGCAGGGCCCTTGAACTGGGTCTTCAGTGGGAGTAAAGACATATTCCCCACCATCCGGTTATCGGACTCCTGCAGGCTCGAGTGATAGGCCTGAGCACACAGCACACAAAGATGCTAGCAAGCGACTATGATGTTGGAGTCCTGCTCACGGCCGCTGATGTTGGCCGTGAGCAGGACTCTTACTCGGGTCGCCGGGTTCGTAGGGCAGCGCGATAAACACTACGCAACCGCTCCCCATGGAGAATCCGAAAAGACAAAGATCCCCCGTATAGCATTAACATACTTTCGGGACAAGTGCTGTTAGCGAAAATTGTGCTGACCACCCACGACGGGGTGGGTGGTCACCACAACTTGTCTCTCAAGTGGCAATGTTTACACACCGTTCTGGGTACTCATTTGAGGACGGGTCGACCTAGGGGAGGCCCTGGACCGGTTCAAATATTCGCCACTGTCTGAGGGTCCTGAATTCTGGCCGTGCGGGGTTCGTAGCGCAGCGCGCAAACCACTACATTACCGCTCCCCACAACACACAAGCATGTGTACCATCACAAACACCGCATTCGCGTGAAAAGATGCCAAAACTTCCACCAACACGTACACACACGCACACACACAGGGCGCACTCCCGACCCTGACAACCTGCTGTATTATTTGGAGTTTGCGGTGTCTCTCTCCCCATGGTTGCGTGGATTTTTCTCCGAGTCCTCCGGGTTTTTCCCTTCATATTTAGAATCATGCGTTTTGAGTATTCGGCTGCTATAAATTGCCACGTGATAGGCCACTTCATTGGGCTATCATTTGTGGCCAGGTCGCTTCTGAAAAAACTGCTTATGTAGCTTCAGTGGGCAATACTTGGTAGAATATCGATCGTATTTTGGTTTTTCTCAACGCTCCCCCTACGCTTTGCAATGCTTCCTCAATGCTTCCCTTACACTCCGTTTTGCTCACCAATGCTTCCTCCATGCTTCGTCAACGCTCCCCCTACGAAATTTTGATTTGAAGCTTTCGTGACCGCAGGGATTTATATTCTTGGTTCTGTCGGTAAAGTCACCACGTAGAAGGGAAACAATAAAATAATAAAAATATAAAACAACAAAATTCTCACGACGTTTCGACTGCAACACAAGCAATCATCATCAGGTGTGAAAACCACAGCAAGAAAATTTGAAAAAAAGTGGCCACTTTTATTGTTTTATATTTTTATTATTTTATTGTTTCCGTTCATCGTGACTTTACCGAAAGAACCAAGAATATGCTCCCGCTACGCTTTGCAATGCTTCCTCTATGCTCTATGCTTCGTCAATGCTCCCCCGTGTCTCCCCATACCCCCTCTTGAGATTGGTGCCAGAGAGATGTGGCACTATCTCATTAGATCTCCTTTGCCAGTTCCAAAATATAATAGGGTTTTTCTCCTTTTTTCTGGCAACAAACTGAAACCTTTTTACAAGGATTCATGTCTGCATTAACCACAATACTTGCAGTCAAATGCAAACAAAAACATAGTGCATTGTTTCTAGATTTGAAGCTTTTGTGACTGCAAGGATTCATACCCTTTGGTTTTATTCGGTAAAGTCACGTTGGTAAAATAAAATAAAATCAAAGAAAACAATTAAATCACGACGTTTCGGAGGCAACACAAGCTTCCGTCTTCAGGTGGAATAGTCACAGCAGAAAATCTGTGTTAAGTACACAGCTCTGAGACCATCGGGTTTATATATAGGTTCGGGGGGGGGGGGAGGAGTCAGAAAGGGGCGTGGGTGGGTGGGAGGGCTGAGTCAAGCCGCCTTTTGTTAAGCTGCAGGGGGGTCGGGAAGAGGCTGTGGGTGCCAACAAATGCGGCTAAAACCCCTTTTTGTTGTCCTGACGGGGGGGTTTGGGGGAAGGCGATGGCGGGCGAGTAAGCCCCATTTAAAAAAAAACCGAAAAGATCTAAAGTTTGGCATACCACCACTGAAAATTGCTGTACAATTAAAAGGCAGCTAACGTTTGACTTGATTCATAACATCTTTCCAATGGCTGCTTAATTTGAAACCATCCTCTCGGTTGAAGTTGTGTCTGTGTTTGTATATCTGGATGGCCTCGTGGAGAAATCTCTGATAATAACCGGTAAGTTGGCAGAGTACCTTGGTATCGGAGAAAACAATATCATAACCCACAGCGTTGTAACAGTGATCAGCCACGGCAGAAGAATTCGTTCTGCCGTGTTTCAAATCTGATTTGTGCTCGCGAATTCGGGGAGATGAAGCGACATATCTCTGACCGAATTCGCGAGCACAAATCAGATTTGAAACACGGCAGAAAGAATTCTTCTGCCGTAGCTGATCACTGTTACAACGCTGTGGGTTATCATGATATTGTTTTCTCCGATGTCAAGGTACTCTGCAAACCTACCGGTTATCATCAGAGATTTGTCCACGAGGCCATCCAGATATACAAACACAGACACAACTTCAACCGAGAGGATGGTTTCAAATTAAGCAACCATTGGAAAGATGTTATGAATCAAGCCAAACGTTTGCTGCCTTTTAATTGTACAGCAATCTTCAGTGGTGGTATGCCAAACTTTAGATCTTTTCGTTTTCAAAAATGGGGCTTACTCGCCTGCCATCGCCTGCCCCCCCCCCCAACCCCCCGTCAGCACAACAAAAAGGGGTTTTACCCGCATTTGTTGGCACCCACAGCCTCTTCCCGACCCCCCTGCAGCTTAACAAAAGGTGGCTTGACTCAGCCCTCCCACCCACCCTTAACATATATATATAAACCCGATCGTCTGAGGGCTGTGCACTTAACACAGATCTTCTGCTGTGACTGTTCCACCTGAAGACGGAAGCTTGCGTTGCCTCCGAGACGTCGTGATTTAATTGTTTTCTTTGATTTTATTTTATTTCTACCTACGTGACTTTACCGAATAAAACCAAAGAGTATAGTGGCATTGTCTTTGAGCTGTACGCCTTTTGGCGTCATCTGGTCGAGCACCAATTGGGTCGAGGCTCAAAAGAAAGCCGTCCCTTGGTGTGGACCAATCAGTTTCAAGGACAATGCCACATATACTATCATAGCATGTTTTTTGTTTGCATTTTGACTGCAGGTATTGTGGTTAATGCAGTAACATGAATCCTTGTATATATAAAAAAAAGGTTACAGTTTTGTTGCCAGAAAAAAACGGGGGAAAACCTCTATTATTAGACGTGGCACTACTCCGACCATAATGGCACAACGCTGCGGAAAGCGGAACCGAATTACGAAATGTCCAGTGGGAAATCTACGGGGCAAAGGACCGTGATGATGATGACGGTGATGATGACTCCCTCTATGCTTACCCATCCGCTACACCACCCCCCCCCGTGATTCTTCTAGAACTCTCCACGCTCCGTCCGTGTTCCTCCTCCTCTGCGCGTTTCCGCTTTGCATGCAGATCCCTCCCCTCTCCGCTACGTGTGGTGCAAAGCAGGCCCAGCGTACACCACAGCACACCGTTAAGACTCAATAAAAAATAAAAAAATATAAAACAATTAAATTCTCACGACGGCAAAATTTTTTTTCACATTTAAAAAAAAAATTCAAATTTTTTGAAAAAAATATTTCTATGCCGTGGGGGTTTTTGTTTTTTACACCTGATGATGACGATTGCTCGCGTCGCAGTCGAAACGTCGTGAGAATTTTTTTGTGCTTTTATATTTTTATTATTTTATTGTTTCCCCTTCTTACGCGGTGGCGACTTTACCGAAAGAACCAAGAATATGAATCCCTCGTCCGCGAGTCTACCATCATGTTTAACCCCCCCACCCCCCTACTAGGTGCGTGACGTCATTTATGGACGGCCCCATATGTTTTCCCCCTTTAGGCTCCCCGCACGCTTCCCCGCTGCCAAGGGCCGGGGCCGGGGCGTGGTGGCAGCGTCGACCACGGGGGCCGCCGTCACGCCGCGAGCCAGACACAGCGCTCCTCCATCTCCCGGGCGCCCCGTCTCACCGGCATGATGACGGCAAACGGGCGGCGGCGGCGACGAGGAAGAGACGAGGTGGAGGAGACGAGGTGGAGGAGACGAGGAGGAGGAGACGAGGTGGAGGAGACGAGGAGGAGGAGACGAGGTGGAGGAGACGAGGAGGAGGAGACGAGGTGGAGGAGGAGACGAGGAGGAGGAGACGAGGAGGAGGAGGAAGAGACGAGGAGGAGGAGGAGGAAGAGACAAGGAGGAGGAAGAGACGAGGTGGAGGAGGAGACGAGGAGGAGGAAGAAACGAGGCGCTGCACGAACGTCCGCTGCCGCTCAGCCACTTCCCACCGCTTCACTTCCGCGTGTCTCCGTGACGTCACGCGTCAGTCCGCTCTCCCCCCCCTTCGATTTCACGAAATTCGATTTCGTGCGGCCGATCGATTGCACGGCCGCGGGAATCGGTTGCTGTTTTGTGCGCGTGCGCTTTGTGGGTACGGTACCAACTCAACGCTTGGTTCGAGAGCGTCCCAGGTACGGGATAAATCACGGCGTTTAATAATCGAAAGCAATCGAATACGTCATTCGATGTACGTTATCTCGAGCGTAGTAATCTATTTGCGTTTGAAAATCGAAATCGATTCTTCTCCTCCCACCCCCCGCGGTTATTTCCTGCCCTGACTCGGGGCTCCGTGGCGTCATTTCCGCGAAGCACGCCCCTCGCTATAAAATAAAAGCGACATGACGTCACTCCGGGGTGAGCGCGAGCCACCGCCCAAATCTACAGATATAATGACGTCATCGCTCTAGCTAGGATACATCACCCACTAGTTTCAGTTTTTTCAGTTTATATTTATTTTGGTATAGCCCTGTGAGCCATTCGGCTCTTGAATCGGGTAACACCACAACAAACAAAAAAACACGAACAAGAACAACATCTTAAAGTGACTATGTGTGACTGTGCAAACAGAAAATCCATGAAAAAAAACAACAAAATATTCCAGAAAAAAGCACCGTACACCAACGCTGTGTGCAAAAAATCCCAGTGGGATGCAAGTCAAACCACAACAACCACAAGAAAACTTAGATTAAGGCCGTCAGTCTAACTCCGTACTACAACAAAACAAACATGTCCAAACCAAAAAAAAGTTTTCCAAATCACCAAAAAATAAAGCCATAATTGCAACGTAACAGTGATCACAGGGACTGTGACCGAATTTTTACAATAAACTACATAAATAACGTAACACAAAATCCAAGAGCCGTAGCTGGCTGCATGAGTTACTCCACAACAACAGAAGCATCAGTCGGAGTATCAAATTTTTCAATGCACCTTTAAGATCAGTACGCTAAATCAAAATACAGATAATACTTTGCTGCGTCATCCGGAGCGAAATATTTTATTTTATTTTACGCCAATGAATAGCAGTGGCAGCTAGGGGTGTACAACTCCTCTAGAGCAGTTTTGAGAGACGATCTCATTGGTAGCGATTCAAGTTGCAGTTTATTGGCAATAGCATTCCAGACCCTGGGGGCATCAATAGCAAATGCCCTTCCTCCGGTTTTTTGTACGGCAATAGGGAATGTGAAGCTGTTAGATGTGCGAAAACCTGAGGTCAAATTTGTTCTTTGAAACAGAGAGGAGATCCAGCAGGTAGTCTGCGGATTTTTTTGTAAGTACATCGTGAATAAATAAGATCTGGTGCACAAGCCGTCGAACATTAAGAGATGTTAAGTTTGACCCAATGTAGAGATCACAGCGGTGAGTCCTATATGGGCAGTTCAATGTAAATCTTAAGGCCGAGTGATAGATGGAATCAAGCTTCTTCAGTACAGTACTTGGGGCTGATTTATACACGATGTCACAGTAGTCAAGTAGAGGCAGTATGGTAGCTTTTACGCACTAATCGACGGTGACGGTGTTTCAGAACGTTCCTATGGCCGGAGTGTGGACAGGGTCGTCTGGAATGAATCGATCACACGCGGTTTTGTTGTTGCTTGACCATCCTGGTGAAGTATGGTCTGGGAGTGACTCATGCTGCCAGATATGGCTGCAAGTTTGGTCGTACAAGTTATGTATATCGTTTATTGTTAAATTTGAATCAAAGTTCCTACAATCACTGTTGTTACATTATCTTTGGTTCTATTGGGTAAAGTCACGTAGGTAAAAAATAAAATAACAAAAATCACGACATTTCGGCCACAACACAAGCAGCCTTCATCAGGTGAAGGGACGAGACTGTCTGGAGGACAGCGCTGGAGTGAAAAAAGCCACGCTCAGATCACGACCTTTTAAGCTGTGTGAGAAGAAACAAAGCACCTTGACAAAGGAATTAGCATAGAATTTAGCATTGAAATAGCTGAGTGATTAGCTTGTAACTGGTCACAGAAATAGCTATGTTAAAGTCAGAGCATATACATTCACCGAGGCACCTAGTACAAATCAAACAGGAGAATTTAGCGAAACACAACAACGCTCATACCGCGGACCTTTAAACTGTGTGCGAGCAAACAAGGTGTCCTGACAAAGAAATTAGCATAAAAATTAGCATTTGATTGGCCGATTTTAGAAAAGAGGTGGTGGAAATGCCGGTGGACTTGCCATTTGGCGCGGGGGGGGGGGGGAGTTTACCTATTGATGGTGTGAAAAGGGAATTTATAAGAGCTGCGAAAGTTTGGGGTACTACTACTTGAAAAAATATACTGTACCATTGAAATTAGTTTAATGTTTAGTTCGATTTAGAACATCTTTCCAATGGTTGCTTAATTTGAAACCATCTTCTCGGTTGAAATTGTGTCTGTGTTTGTAGATCTGAATTGCCTCGTGAACAAATCTCTGATAAAGACCCGTGGGTTTGCAAAGAACCTTGGTATCGGAGAAAATTATATCGTTATCACCCACTGCGTTGTAACAGCCACGGCAGAAGAATTCGTTTTGCCATGTTTCAAATCTGATTTGTGCTCGCGAATTCGGTCAGAGACATGTCGCTTTGTCTTCCCGATATAGCAATCACCGCAGGTACAACTCAGTTTGTAAACCCCGGGGTACTGTAAGTCAGCAATGACATCCTTCACGGATGGGATCAGATCACGAATTTTGTGTACTGTTTTGAACCGGACCTGGATCTTGTGTTTGTTTAGAATTTTGGAAACCTTTTAGTAAACGCCTGCCTATATATGGTAGTGTGATGGTTTTGACCGGAGTATCAAGTGGTTGTTTCTGTATGGAGGGAGGAACAGCTTGGCGGATGGTACGGTCAGAGTAACCATTCCTTTTTGAGGGCCAGGTGTACATGTTTTAATTCACTGGTCAGGTGGTGTTGGTCCGAAATGCAATGAGCCCTATGGTATAAAGTTTTGATGAGAGAATTCTTTTGGGCTTGGTGGTGGTGGGAATCAGGTTTCAAGTAGGAATCTGTGTGGGTGGGTTTCCTGTAGACAGAATGCCCCAATGAGCCATCAGGTCTCCTCTCAAACAGAACATCTAAGAATGGCAGCTTGCCATCTTTCTCCACTTCCATGGTGAATTTGATGGCAGGATGTCTGGAATTGATGTGGTGTAGGAAAAGGTTCAGAGCTGGGAGGCCATGTGGCCAAATGACGAAAGTGTCATCCACATATCTCTTCCACAGGGAAGGTCTGAGGGTGGAAGTCTGGATGGCGTCTGTATTCAATATTTCTCCATGAAAATATTGGCTATCAACTGGTGTATACGGGGATCCCTATGGGGTACCCTCATTTGTTGTAGAAGGAGCCATTCCAAGTAAAGTAGGTATTCTTGAGGCAGTGCCTAAACCAGTGCAGGTGTGTCGGGGTCTAGTCCATGTTGGACCAAATTTTTCAATTATTTCAATGGTATCAGGTACTGGGACCTTGGTGAACAAAGAGACCACATCGAAGCTGACAAGGATATCGTCAGGGGACAGTACAACGTCTTTGACCATAGAGACCAATTGGCTGAGTTAAGATAACTGCTGCTTGCGGTCTTGCCAGTGAAAGGCAGCAAGGTATACTGACAGAAAACGGGCTAGTCTATATGTAGGGGAGTGATCGTGGATAACGATGGGTCGGAGTGTGGTGCCTTCTTTAGAATCTTGGGAAGACCATAGAATCTAGGGGGTCTTGCAGCAGAAGGTTTAGGGAGGGACGTTTAGTTGGGTCGATTAGGGAGGTCGAACTTGTGATGATCTTGTTGGTTTTATCGCTAGGCTATTAGTAGGGTCATTTTTTTATTTTTTAGTAACTTCCATCGTTGAGCAGATTCTGGATTTTGTTGTTGTATGAATCTTTATCCATAATAACAGTAGCGTTGCCTTTATCGGCTGAGAGGATGACTATATCACTTCTGTTTTTTTTAATTCGCGAGTTCAGAGCGTTCATTTTTGCTGATGTTACTAATGGGTTTCTTAGCATTCTTAAGAATAGTGGCTATTTCAGCTCTCGCAACGTCTGCTTGGATGTGTCCTACGCCTTGAGGGCTACATCGACCTGAGAGATGATATCATGTACTGGTATGTGTTTGGGGTGACAGCAAAATTTAGTCCCCTAGCCAGTACTGTTTTCAGATTGTCCGAAATCGGGTGCTACTCTGATTAATGACGATTTTGTTAACATCTAGTTTTTGTTATATGTGGAACTGTGTTCTTCTTTGATTAGGTGGTTGAATTTAGAAATCAGGTTAGCTTTACATTTGACTGACAGTGACTCAGCAGAAGAAGCAGTCATGTTGTCTACGTGATTCCAATCAGAAGGTGACATTTTTTGTGTTAACATTAAATGAGCTTGTAGGAGAGTCCTGTCTAAAGCTCATTTCATGTTAACACAAAAAATGTCACCTTCTGATTGGAATCACGTAGACAACATGACTGCTTCTTCTGCTGAGTCACTGTCAGTCAAATGTAAAGCTAACCTGATTTCTAAATTCAACCACCTATCAAAGAAGAACACAGTTCCACATATAACAAAACTAGATGTTAACAAAATCGTCATTAATCAGAGTAGCACCCCGATTTCGGACAATCTGAAACAGTACTGGCTAGGGGACTAAATTTTGCTGTCACCCCAAAACACATACCAGTACATGATATCATCTCTCAGGTCGATGTAGCCCTCAAAGGCGTAGGACACATCCAAGCAGACGTTGCGAGAGCTGAAATAGC